TGAACATTTTAATTGGTTTCTTTAGGAAATATATATGATTATATAGACTCTTTATAGGATTTGGTACATGTTTTAATGAGCCTTAAGGTAAATATCAATATACCCTTGGGTATTTATCAGTGACTGCTCCAGTCAAAAATCGCTGTGATGACATAACGTAGACGACGATATGACGCCATGAATTGAAATTAGCGCGACAAAACCTCTGCCCCCATTTGGTTTTGTCCTCCACATGTTTACTTTGAGCCTGTTGAAATGTGACATTTTCTTTCTGGGTCATGTGATACAAAGCATCTGAGATTTGTTGTATTTCACATGGGATTTGACTTAACTCGTCTCGAAGTGTTCATCTCTTGCTCGCCAAGGCGCACAAGAATGAAAACTTGTAAGACTCGTTTTATAAACATTTGAAATGCAATAAAATTTATTTCAGATGTCGTTTCAGCCAAACTTAAAAGGCGATGATATTTTAGATTTAGTATCAAAATTCTGTCTCAAATTGTATATATGGATATTCTTTCAAAAATGACGAAGGGAGACATTTTCCAGAGTTTCGGAATGATTCCATTGCAGTCATTCGCAAATTTATAGACATTTTATCTAACTTAGCCAGGTAAGTTGACATGTAGATTTCCTATTTAATCAAAATATGTATATAGCGTGCTCTATTGCAGCTGTCTAATAGGAGACATTTCATTTTGCTCTTTCTCCCGTTTCGATGTCTTTCCTATTAATAAAGTTAAAGATGTTTAAAATATTGAGTTATGTTGTATGTAATATGATATTATATAGGCGATTTTGATGTCATTCATTCTATTTAACTAGTATTTGTCTTTTATGTCCAGTATATGTCTTTTTAAAAATATTAATACATGTATGGATAAAATATATAGCGTTACATATTTTAGATATTGAATATCAACAAGTTTTCTTTGTAGTAATGCAGTTCCTATTTGTTATTCTTTCAAAGAAACATTTCCTTTCGAATACCGATGAACACATCCTCTCACTGTCCTTTCTCGGCTTTCTTCTCTTATGCCGTCCTATCGCCTGTTTAGAGGACGAGTGTATGCTGCCCTATCGCCAATTTAGGGGACGAGTGTATGCCGTCCTATCACATATAACGAGACGAGTGTATGCCGTTGTTCTATCGCATATTATGTGACGAATTAAGTACCCAATACTCGTTATCGAATCCTTCATTGCATATTGATAATGAAATATAAGCTACTTGGAATCACTGTATGTGATATTTTCACTCTTTTGTAATGCACTTCAATGTTAGGTCTGGATCATGAATCAAGGGATTCCCAAAATCATCCGAAAGCACAGATAGTGTTCAACTGTCTAGGATGATCATCTCCCAATAAGGAACATCTAAGCCAACCCTTACCGCGGAACCAAGACTGGAAGAAACTAACACAGGGACGGTCATTTTCAGAAATGAAGTCCAGCTACTCTTATTTTAGGACATGTTCCTCTTTCATGCTTCTTGTGAAGATCTGTGGACGAGATCCTGGCTTTCGTTTCGTCGCTTTGAAGACAGTCCCACCTCATACGTATGCGAGAACTTAGACGGGAAAGTCATCACAGAAGCTGATTTTCTTCGCTAAAATGTTACCCAGACACTTCAAATATAAACATTATTCTAGGAAGTTTGGCGGCTTTACTTGCTATTATCGTGGTTATCATCCTCGCTCGGGTATTATGTTATCCTGAAATATATGTTATATATCGTCGCAAACTCCGACGTGTAAAACAATCACAAGGATTTAAATATGACGTCTATGTATCATTTTATGACGAGGACACCTTACAACGAAAGTGGGTTATTAGGAATCTCGCTAAACATATGGAAAAGCGTGGATATACCTTATTTATTCCTGTCCGGGATGCAAGCATTGCCGAGTGCAGAGAGGAATACATCCGGAGTATGATAGGGAGGTGTAAACATTTCATTATCATTCTGTCAGAAAAATACTTCAAATCATCTTATCAAGGGGAAACAACTCAAGAAGTCTTCACTCAGTTTGAATTCAACAACATGTGGAAAGTGTACCAAAATGATATGCGACGGAATTTGGTCATTATCAACTATGATAACCTATCTGTCAGTGAAATCAACAACCATTGGGTGAAGGCTTGTTTTCGTGTTGGGGAGGTTGAAGACTTTACCGAAAGACGAGGCTTACTGTTGGATGTTATTGAGCATAAGATTTCCCCACCTTGTAAACAGACGTATTTAGTTGGTGACAATGAATTTCCTTTGCAACGAGATTTTAATTTTAAGAGTGTGTACCATGGTAAAGTATAGTGCTGAGTGTATCATAGTTTTAATTTTGATGTTATTAACTGTCAAATTTCTCTGAACTGTTTCTACAACTGTATAAACCCAAGAATTGCCTTTATTATAGTAATCACTCTAGCGTGGGTGTTGCACTTTTCTGACTAATATGTTTTATATTATAATCGAATTAAAACAATTACAAGTTTTAAATATAACGCCTACGTATCATATGACGAGGACACCTTACAAGGAAAGTGGGTTATTAGGAATCTCGCTAAACATATGGAAAAGCGTGGATATACCTTATTTATTCCCGTTCGGGAATTAGGGTACGGAATAGTAGGTTTTTGTCGTACAAATACTACAACCAGTAAAGATAAGTTTCAATGTATATACTAACATGAATGATCTTTTTTTCAATTTCGAAATAAAATCAGTATACATCAAATATTTTTCTGTATTCAATTCGATTCTACGACTTTGAAAAGTCAACTTTCGACAACTTTCCAGAGGAACGCTACTTAGTAAATGTCAACACTTTTCTATAGGCTTTGAATAATTTCTTGATTTTAATTAGCACAAGTTAAAGACGATGACGATAAGTTCAAACTGTAGTCACAACGGCGGCAGACCTTTCCCCGTTCTGTTTAGATGTCTAGCTACAATGAATTATCACGTAAAAATAATTTCTGAAATTATTACTCTAGCAGGTGCCATTATTTAGGATTTGGACTCGAATTCTCTCGGCTTGTGAGTCAGACAATCAACGATCGAGCTAAAAAAATCTCAAGCTGACCAGTATTGTGGCTATTATCTAATCATGGTTTCTGGGGAACTTTTCTATGTTCTCATTTGTATGACATATTGAGTTTATTTTAGCACAAACAGTCTACAAGGCAATAGTGTGAAGACAAGATATTCATTTAAAAAGATTAAGATTACCCCTGGGATTTGTTATCTTATTTTAATGCTCTCGATATTTTCACCTCTTAAATGGCTCGTTACCATACGTAAATTTTGATATAACTGATTACAATACTTTGAATTCCATCGACAGAAATTTTGTAACAGACAATATAAGTTTCCGGCTTATGCAGAAATTTGTAAAACCAATCACAAAATATGATGATACAGAGTGTAATCTCACCAAATATAACAAACAGATTTTTCTGAGACGTGAGCCAAAACAAAAATCTTCGACAACGTTTCCGATAAATACACAAATAGATAAGATAATTTTTTTCTCACATTCGATGTTTTCTGAAGGAACTTCAAATCTTTTCAGTATTTCGTCTACACTAAAATGTATGACTAGGTACATGTGTCAATCACTCACTTTTTTCCCATTATCATGAAAAAATCAACAATGTATTGGGAATGGAAATGACAATGCTAATGAATCTGTTTACAGATAAACAATACGGTATATATTTTGTCATTAATCATATCATTCGGGCTTTTCACACTATAAAATCTGGGTTGGCTTTCATTAAAACTCAAAACTGAGTTGGTTTGAACATCTATAGCATATTGTTTGTGTGTGTGAAGGGAAGGGGGTGGGGTGTGGAGGTGTACATGCTTGTGTGAAATATTATTTGTTATTATTCCCGGCGAACAATTCAAGTTAATTACTCGAACTTTGTACAGTTATTAAGCTAGTGCAATAGTAGTGTCTTTTGCTTTGGCGAAGTTCTCCAGTTCAGTACTGTTTCCATTGTAAGATTGTCCAAATCACAATGTTAAAATTTTCCGGACCAGTGCTTTAAAACCGCTCAAGATAATTACTCGAACAATTTTACAGTTATTTAGCTAGTACTCTAGTAGAAGTTCTTCATTTCAATAATTTTAGTTCTATGGCACTATCAAAAATAACAAACAGAAATTTTACTTGTTGATCATGTAATTATTTTAGTTATAAATGTTGCCAAACATTACTGAAAAAACAATAAAAGATGACCTAGAATAAAATATCCGTAACAGTGGTGGAGTATTGCAATAGTAACAGATCTATATATGATTGTGTGTATTTCTTTTGATCAGCGCGACGCTGCGGATAACGTCACGCATGTCGTTATCATGTAGCAGTATTATTCTAACAAATTGTGAACCGCTATTTGCAACATAAGATAAATCCCATATCAATGTTTTGTTATAAATATAATGTATGTGTACCATATTTTAAGGATTATGTGTATATAGATATCTTCGATGATTTTCTTTCCGTGTTGATGCCAAACCAACTAATAATAAGTAATAAATAGCAAAATGATACCGTTATAATATACAAAACTAACGAATAAATTCAATGGAAGAGTTTTGTAAACATAAATAAGTCATTATTTCAAGTCGTCGTTCAAGAAGGTTATATTTCAATTATACGTAAAATGATTCATCCGTAAATTGACGGTTGGTTATAGTATAGTATGTTTTATAGAGTTTTCTTTATTAATGTTTGGCAGCGATTTTTCTATTGTGTACAGTGCCTTTACGTCAGCCTAAGCAGCGGTAATTCATGTGATTTCTAACCATTGTACTGGTCGACCATATAACAAACCTCAAAATTCAAGTTATCAAGATTTATATTCGTTTGTTTCTGTATGTGTTTTCAGTGTGTTGAACGCTTCATCGCTGCATGTTTAGTAGACTTATCGAACACATCATGCGTGTTGTTAGTCTTACCATAATATGTCTCGCATCATATCTTGTGATTATAATGGGAGCGGATACATACTTGCCCTATCGTCTAGAGAATATGACGGATCTGTACTGTCCAGATAGTTGTGGTCAAGACACCGAGTGTTGTGTATGTGAAAACAAACGTGGATGGCAACTTGAGGGACAAGTAGTAGATCTTCACGTTAGATATACAGATATTCGAGGATCTTCGATAGTATACATTCACTGGGATGATTCAACACACAACTATACTAGATTATCTCATGTAAACGGACGTCTACGAAAATTACCAGCTAATATATGTACTTTTCCGTCAACTGTGGAACTGGAGCTAGACAACAATGAAATCGAAAACCTCGACGGAATCGGCTGTCTGGTCAATCTCGACTCCCTCTACCTTAACGATAATAACCTAGAAATCATACGCAACACAACATTCCGAAACTTAACGAGTCTACGTAATCTGTATCTAAGTAACAACAAAATCGTCAGCATTGATCCTAATTCCTTCAGTCTTTGTTGCGGTCAGTATATCCTTAACGTCGACATATCCAGAAACCAGATCGAATCCATTGACGTTACAAATTATGCTCTGAAAACCTTCTGTAGATTATCGATATCAGATAACAAAAAAAATATGAAAACTTCAAATCAGCTGGGTTTCAAGATAATGCCTGATGAAAAGTTTGGAACTGGTGGTACCATTGACTTTGAAAACTGTTCTCTGCAAAGTTTCTTTAACTACTCCGATTTCGGACTAGATTCATGGAACAAGCTCTATAAGAACTTGGATATATCTGTGTCATTCACTAGTGATGCACTAACGTGCGATTGCAATATGGCGGAACTGCTTTCTGGTGATATTGGAAACATTAAGAAATTCTGGAAACAAGCGGAAGAATATATTTGTGAAAGACCTCCCGAACTGAACGGTACAAAACTGACTGATATTTATGTGACATATCCAGAGAAGCAGGACCTCCTTATATGCAATATTACTGAGTACTGTCCTAGAAAGTGTCACTGTTATAACCAACCTAGCCATGATCGGGTTGTTGCCGACTGCCAGGGACAAGGACTTACAACAATGCCGAAACATTTACCATGGGGCAACGGGGACAGATTAAAACTTCTCTTTGCCGGAAATGATATTCAACATTTGGAAGAAAGACCTTATTTAGGTCGTATTTCAGAATTGGATCTTTCTGGAAATAGACTGTCTCATATCTCGGAGACAGCAGCATCAGTTTTACCTAACGATGCACGACTCAATGCAACTGGAAATAAATTGACATCTTTGCCGCGTCATTTTCAGAACAGAAGTCCAGCTACTCTTGTTTTAGGACATGTTCTTCTTTCATGCTCTTGTGAAGATCTGTGGACGAGATCCTGGCTTTCGTTTCGTCGCTATGAAGACAGTCCCACCTCATACATATGTGAGAACTTAGGTGGGAAAGTCATCACAGAAGCTGATTTTTCTTCGCTAAAATGTTACCCAGACACTTCAAATATAAACATTATTCTAGGAAGTTTGGCGGCTTTACTTGCTATTATCGTGGTTATCATCCTCGCTCGGGTATTATGTTATCCTGAAATATATGTTATATATCGTCGCAAACTCCGACGTGTAAAACAATCACAAGGATTTAAATATGACGCCTATGTATCATTTTATGACGAGGACACCTTACAACGAAAGTGGGTTATTAGGAATCTCGCTAAACATATGGAAAAGCGTGGATATACCTTATTTATTCCTGTCCGGGATGCAAGCATCGCCGAGTGCAGAGAGGAATACATCCGGAGTACGATAGGGAGGTGTAAACATTTCATTATCATTCTGTCAGAAAAATACTTCAAATCATCTGATCAAGGGGAAACAACTCAATTAGTCTTCACTCAGTTTGAATTCAACAATATGTGGAAAGTGTACCAAAATGATATGCGGCGAAATTTGGTCATTATCAACTATGATAACCTATCTGTCAGTGAAATCAACAACCGTTGGGTGAAGGCTTGTTGTCGTGTTGGGGAGGTTGAAGACTTTACTGAAAGACAAGGCTTACTGTTGGACGTTATTGAACAAAAACTGTTCCCATCTTGCAGACAGTATAACGAATCCGAAATCGATGAACACATTTCCCGGTATGATTTTAACGCAAAGCTTGTGTTTCATGGAAAATTGTAGAGTGTAATCTTGACGTTGATGCAGATATTTTATTTCTGTTGATATATCTAAATGTATTAAGGGATAAACTCTGCAAATTCTCTTCTATTTGTTGATCTTTGATTTACATATTCCAGGACTTTATCTCCTACATTATCAATAATCATCTCTTCCAGTACAGGACATTATAGCCTACATTGTAAATAATAATATATTCTAGCACCAGACTTTATTTACTACAGTATAAATTATCATATATCCAAGGTTAAGACTTTTTCTACTACACTATAAATTATCATCAATTCCAAGGGATAAACTCTGCAAATTCTCTTCTATTTGTTGATCTTTGATTTACATATTTCAGGACTTTATCTCCTACATTATAAATAATCATCTATTCCGGTACAGGAATTTATTTCCTATATTATAAATTATCATAAATTCCAGCTGCAGCCTTTATCTCCTACATTATAAATAATCATATAATTCCTTTCGAATACCGATGCACCCATCCTCTCACCGTCCTTTCTCGGCTTTCTTCTCTTATGCCGTCCTATCGCCTATATAGGGGACGTGTGTATGCTGACATATCACCTATTACGAGACGAGTGTATGCCGTTGTTCTCTCGCATATTATGTGACGAATTAAGTACCCATTACTGGTTATCGAATCCTTCATTGCATATTGATAATAAAATATAAGCTACTTGGAATATTTGTATGTGATATTTTCACTCTTTTGTAATGCACTTCAATGTTAGGCCTGGATCATGAATCAAGGGATTCTCCAAATCATTCGAAAGCACAGATAATGTTCAACTGTCTGGATTATCTCCCACTAAGAAACATCTAAGCCAACCCTTATAGCGAAACCAAGACTGGAAGAAACTAACATAAGGACGGGCAGACATCGATTTTTTTAACATAATCAGCAATTGCGAATACTGCAATGCCGCAACTAAGCATAAAGCAGAATTAAGAACAGACTTATAGTGTTCCTACAGCCTTCAGTGTATCTTTCCTGTGTGTGTTGAAGGGGGGAGGGGGGTTAGCGGATTGTCCTAAGGATTTCTTTGGGAAAATAAGGAAATACAGAAGCCGTGCTGTCCTCTCAAGAACCATATTGAAGACGGAGAGAAAAGACGCCCCCTTACAACAAACCGACGCAGTTAAATCGGAGAAAGCATCCCTCTACCGTAGAACTCCGTTGACTATTAACATGTAAACAAGCAACGTCAGACTTTAATTTGCTTACAGGAAAGTAAATACAAAAATACAATTTATATTTGAAACCAAAACACAACGTGGTAACAAAAACGCATACACGCCGCCATGTGTCGGTACACCGACGGGGAAAACGTAAACATGCCGCCATGTGTCTGTACACTGACGTGGAAAACGTAAACACGCCGCCATGTGTCTGTACACTGACGGGGAAACGTAAACACGCCGCCATGTGTCTGTACACTGACGGAAAAACGTAAACACGGCGCCATGTGTCTGTGCACTGACGGGAAAACGTAAACACTACTCCAGGTGCCTGTACACAGACGGGAAAACGTAAACACTACTCCATGTGTCTGTACACTGACGGGAAAACGTAAACACGCCGCTATGTGTCAGTACACTGACGGGGAAAGTGTAAATACGCCGCCATGTGTCTGTACACTGACGGGAAAACGTATACACGAAGCCATGTGTCTGTACACTGACGGGGAAAACGTAAACACTACTCCATGTGTCTGTACACTGACTGGGAAAACGTAAACACGCCGCCATGTGTCGGTACACTGACGGGAAAACGTAAACACTACTCCATGTGTCTGTACACTGACGGGGAAAACGTAAACACGCCGCCATGTGTCCATACACTGACGGGGAAAACGTAAACACGCCGCCATGTGCCTGTACACTGACGGGAAAACGTAAAAACTCCGCCATGTGTCGGTACCCTGACGGGGAAAACGTATACACGAAGCCATGTGTCGGTACACTGACGGGGAAAGGGTAAATACGCCGCCATGTGTCCATACACTGACGGGGAAAACGTAAATACGCCGCCATGTGTCTGTACCCTGACAGTAACACGTAAACACGCCGCTATGTGCCTGTACACTGACGGGGAAAGTGTAAATACGCCGCCATGTGCCTGTACACTGACGGGGAAAACGTAAACACGCCGCCATGTGTCTGTACACTGACGGGGAAAACGTAAACACTACTCCAGGTGCCTGTACACTGACGGGAAAACGTAAACACTACGCCATGTGTCTGTTCACTGACGGGGAAACGTAAATACGCCGCCATGTGTCGGTACACTGACAGTTAGACGTAAACACTACTCTAGGTGCCTGTACACTGACGGGGAAAGTGTAAATACGTCGCCATGTGTCTGTATACTGACAGTTAAACGTAAACACGTCGCCATGTGTCTGTTCACTGACGGGGAAACGTAAATACGCCGCCATGTATTTGTACACTGACGGGGAAAATGTATACACGAAGCTATGTGTCGGTACACTGACGGGGAAACGTAAACACGCCGCCATGTGTCTGTACACTGACGAGGAAACGTAAACACGCCGCCATGTGTCTGTACACTGACGAGGAAACGTAAACACGCCGCCATGTGTCTGTACACCGACGAGGAAACGTAAACACGCCGACATGTGTCGGTACACTGACGAGGAAACGTAAACACGCCGCCATGTGTCGGTACACTGACGGGGGAATGTAAATACGCCGCCATGTATCCCCTGAGCCGAAAAACCTGGCCAACATTATTACCAATATAATGGAAAGTGTAACGGTAAAACATAACAGGCAGTCTAAATTCACAATAGGGAATAGCTATTATTGGTTTCATTATGTTTTATACAAATGGATGGAATTTAGTAGAATATATGTATGTTAATGTTACTGATACGAAAAGCTACTGCAAAGAGAGTCCGTCTCACTATGATTGGTGTTCATGGGATGATAAAACATACAGCGAACATTGCTTTGTAACGCAATATTTGCACTGAGCAATGACGTCTGCTTCGGATGAATGCAAACAAGTTGATTGCTCTACTTTTGATTTACGTTCTATAATACAATGTGTTGTTATGCGGAATACATGTTTACATCGACCTACAAATGAACTTCTCATACTTTTTTTTCTGAAACAAAACCTTTGCATGTTGCAAAAATATATGAAGAATAACAAAAACCTTCATTGGGAGATATTTTAATTTATACTTTGTTTTGATATTTTTCAGTTGCGCCGGCAAAGATTGAAAACGGTAAAATATTGTAGACACTGGTGTCACGCGGTTGTTTTGATTTGGTTTATCGGTTAACTGGTTTTGTATTAGAATTGTTTTCAAAAGGATGATGATTTGATGGATAGGCATACAATACTTTGCAGACGAATCTCATTTCCCTGGGGGTATGTTACTTCATCCTGTTTCTCATATATGGACCACATCATCGATACTCCAAGGCTTACGCTCACGTCGCTCTCTTGAACAAAATTTTGATGTAGATCAATCAAATCTCGAGGTCGGATAAAGATATTTTGTAATGGCTTTGAAATTTGGTGTCACTCCTTTTTTTAGCTTCGAAGGAGCCCATCAGCATATGTTCCAGCGGTGCAGAGCGTGATAGTGAGCGTAACCACTGGAGTATCGAGGATGTATGAATCCCATCGTATGGAATATCGACGATGATTTGCGTTAGCTTTACAAGGTGTCAGTGTTTTAGCCTAGTGTTAAGCAGACGTATACCCGATATATCCAATATTACATTGGCACGCCCTGAAACCGTCAGTATCATAATCTTAATATTAAATGTTTTCAGAATGTACTTTCGCTTTCTCCCAGTTTATCTCCGTGTGTTGGCGGGGGCTTCAAAATTGTTCCTGTTCACCTTGGTGATCCTGGTGTATATTTTATCAGTAATGGACAAATATTTTCTGATAAAGAACTGATTTAGGCGAATATAATAGTTAAGTTGTTTTACTAATGTTCACTTCAATATTTACAAAGGGCAACGACGTTAATTGATTTATCAACTGACGTAGTTTTAAATAGTCAAAATAACAATAAGCATTATGATTGCCAGTTACTGATCATGATACTGTTTAATCGAGTAGTGGAATAGATGACATGTAGATTTTAAAGAAATACAAAGAGTTTTTGACAAATCATGAACAAATCAATGTAGCAACGTTGCAAACTGAAAAGGCGTTATTCCCCGACTATGACAGCCTTTTTTTTCAAAGAAATATGGACGACAGCAAAAGCATACGGCTTTGAAGTATGCTGGGGCGTATTTCGAGAAAAGAACGCCTAAAACCAAGACAAAATATTCTAACGACACAATTTTGAAAATTGTAGAATTTATGGCTAACTTGTTTTGTCGTTTTAGCTCTTTCATTCATTTTCTTGTAGAAGACTTAAACAATCATGGTGTTTATTGAATCAAGTCGTTGTTTGTTTTTGTTCCAGTAATATTCCTAGCATAATTAAGTTAATAAGAGCATTATCTTAGTAATAGTAATTCATCAACTGTGATTATGACTGCTACACAGGTTTCACTGGAAGGCTGTCCTTTTTCAGGAATTTAAATAACACCCCGTGTTTAAAGAATCTCCATTATTCACTCATTCATTCATTTCGATAGACTGCAAATATTGAAATGATCAATCCTGGCTTGTTTCCTGTTACTTTTGAAGTTTTTGATGGAGCTCGTGGTGTGTCTATATACTTAGCTGTACCTGGGATTGTTGTACAATCTATAGTCCAAGCATCTTTAAGTATCACTGTGTATGATGAAGCCATGAATTGTAAACTACAAGCTTAGGTATTTGGATAGTGTGACCTTACAGTACAAATTATTGGGAGAGGGTGCACTCACATAAAGATTTCTAGTCAACCAACGAATTACAATGAAGTATTGGTTATTGGTTGATAGGGGATCTGAATGAACTTCAATAAAACGACAATGAGTATTGAGAATGTACCTCTTTGTTTTGGTTCAAAACATCGATTTCAACTGTTATAAACACAGTTTTTGTCAGTCTTGGAGGCTTGGCGAAGCCTAAAACGGGTGCAAGACTGACCTGGAACAAATTACTTTGTATTTTTTCTAGATATATGTACTAACGTGTATTATGTGAACGAACAGACTACAAAACACTTCGCTCCACTTTAAATATCGTAACACAAACAACCTATGGAGCGGTTTTGATGGCAGAGTTCAATGCTATGTATTTTTTTTATCTATTTTCCTCAAATATTTTCTTTATATGAAAAAAAAAAAAAAAAAAAAAAAAAAACAAAAACAAAAACAAAACCAAAAACATTTAGTGCAAGCGATATACTGTTACATAGCTTATCAAATACTTTATTTGCATTGTCTCCATGTAAGGGCATGTGTACTGAAACTGAGAAGTGATGGTCAATATAGAGGTAAAGGGACAATAGAAAGGTCACGTGACAAACAGTGGTTACATACAGGTGTTTAGCTTAAAGCGTGTACATTGTAGCGATTAGGGGCAGCTAATATAGGAACCTGGAAAGGCCTGAATCTGATATTCGTTAGCTGTATAGAAGAACAGGAAAGGATATGAAGAGTAACTTCACGGTCCATAAATCCTTAGTAATTCCATACTCTATTACCTTAATCATAATACTGTTTGAACCTATCATGCCGTGTCTTTGTCTCCAAGTTGAAACGTCAGGTAAGATTTCATCATTTCTTTATATTTCGTACGTGAAAGTCGAAAGTCATAAAGATTTTTCAATCGATTAGAAATTTGATAACAATGAATTACATGTTTCATACACTTGTATACATATAGTGTTCATATTCAGCCATCAAATTACATATGTAATTATAATAAGGTGTTCTTTTAAGACCAACATTTTTTTACACAATAGGAAGGTGGCTGTTTTATGAAACAATGCCAAGTCAATTAGAACCTTTTTTATATAAGGTATTTTTTCACCTGGATTGTTGTCCGAGATTTATCTGTGCTAATTACACAACATATTTCTTAATAACACATCAGAATTTAACCCAAATGTTGTTCAAGTACTAAATATTAAACGCAACCACATGAAATAAATGAAAACAAAATGATTTTACTGGGGTTTTAAACTTTAAATGATAATAAAGTATATAATTGATTATGTAATATCTTACATTGGATGGTTCAGTACTACAACGTAACTAACGACTATAAAGTTAATCAAGATTTTCTGAAATAGAGATGGTTTAATGATAATAGAAATTGACTCGTGTAAATTTTGTAGTTGAAAACTGATAAGAGTGGTGGTTATGAAAACAATGTTTTATTATTGATTAGAAAATATAACACTTTCTAAGAAATATCTCTAATCTAATTGAACTTGCTAATGATATACTTAGATATAGCAAATATAGCTCTGATGATCACATCATCAAGAAGTTTATAAATCATTCGACTTATATATATATATATACAATAAGCAACAAACTATTATGTCTTATATATCATTAAATTGTTAAATGCATGTAATATTTCTTAGCACATTTGCTTCTGCAAATAATCAAAGAAATACACTTGCTTAAAGTATTACTATATACCAACTTTGAGAAACATGAAATGTGCACGGTAACTATTTGATGAAAAAACAACTTATTCAAATTTTAATCGATTTGCGCCCGGACAGCATCTAGTGATTAGAAAACACAAGTCGCTCTGTTTGGTCAAACGTAAAAAAAGTAATATCATCACTGAAAAAAGTTATGTCATCAATAGAAAAGTTATATCATCACTGAAAAAAGTTATACCATCACTGAAAAAAGTTATGTCATCAATAGAAAAGTTATATCATCACTAAAAAAGTTATACCATCACTGAAAAAAGTTATATCACCACTGAAGAAAGTTTTATCATCACTGAAAAAGTTATGTCATCAATAGAAAAGTTATATCATCACTGAAAAAAGTTATGTCATCACTGAAAAAGTTATATCATCACTGAAGAAAGTTTTATCATCACTGAAAAAGTTATGTCATCAATAGAAAAGTTATATCATCACTGAAAAAAGTTATACCATCGCTAGTAGGGATAAAAATGTGTTATACTTAGTGTATTTTTCTTGTCAATATTTCTTAAATGTTTCTAGTGTTTTTTATGATATTAAAGTGAAAGTCAATTAAATCACATCTCGGCTGAAAAGAAAGTTGTTTATACTGTATAAATACACTCACTTACAAAACGGATAAACCAACTGGGAAATAAATGATAAAATGAATTAAGTATCTTATCTAGAATGAACCAATGACCATACAAGGGAACTATACATCTGCAGGTGATATATCACAAGTGCTGAGAAAGAGAGTTACTTGTATTTTGCAAACTTGTGAGTACAATGCAATAATATTGAACACTTATTTTAAGAGAAGATCATTTGATTTATAAAGAGACATATTGAACGAAATATTGACAAGACGTATACTTACCTAACAGGAATATCATACGAAATAAAGCAAAATATTGACAAGACGTATACTTACCTAACAGGGATATCATATGAAACAAAGCAAAATATTGACAAGACGTATACTTACCTAACAGGAATATCATATGAAACAAAGCAAAATATTGACAAGACGTATACTTACCTAACAGGAATATCATATGAAACAAAGCAAAATATTGAAATGTGAGCAGCAGGAATAAATAGTAGAAACACCAAATCAATTAATTGTTAGAAAATAATAATAAATGAACAGGATTGCATGACCTGAATATGTATCACTCTACACATCAATGTAACAGATGGAAAAGGGGAGATATGCATACTTAACTAGATAGGTAGCCGTAACATTTAAATCATATTACAATACAAACTATATTATATCATGATTAAATAACCAAATATTAACGGTAGTTTCATCAGAAGTAACTGATTTGAAAATAGCAGACAATTACAATAAATAAAATTGTGTATAACATCTACATCAACCCGTAAACGAAATTATGAATACACATTTTAAAAACTAAATATTTTACAACATAATCCGATTGGATCACTTCAACACTCGAAACATCATATCAAATGGATATTGATTACATTTAGTTTTGCATTGAACTCAAATACAAGGAGGCTAATATAGTAGTTCATAGTATGAAAATACGTGTAATATACTTACTAGTTTGAAGAACTATTGAAACCAATTAAACGCGTATTTGAATGATTTCTATATAGAGAACGAATGTACAAAACCCCATTTCATTACAGGGTGAAAAATTCGACCTGATCAAGAAGATTTTTTGTTTAACATTTATCGTGTACATAATATCTATAACCGATAGTAGAATTTGTAACATTAAAGATCAATGCATTACTACGAAACAAGACATAATATTTTGTACTTATTAGATAAAAATATGCTATACATACAATCTCAACATTTTCGGTAATAGCGAGCTGCTACCTAAGAGATATGAAAACAATAGTCTAGAGTCTAGCTAATTAACCAGCGTAGAAACTGTGTGTCTGCGATGTTTGTGAGGAAACCTGGTGATTCGGAAAAGAACGAACACGTCAGTTTTTCACTTAATACTTTCTGCAAACAAAAACGTTTCCGTTTATATCATAGAGCAGCATGTGATTAAAATTTAAGAACATACATATAATGAAACCTACCAAAAAATGAACAGAAGGTAGAAATATAAAAAAAAAATTAACCAGAATCAGATATGCTGTTTAAGAATGATTATCATATACCTTGTTGTAAATAGTCATGACTTTCTTTATATTTACACGACTTTCATTATTGCAGTTTTTATGAAACTCAGGAAAGCTGGTTCTTTTAATGACAAGTTGTTAACTGACAACATGACTGGATCTTATACAGCGGACACCTTATTAAAGTGCACGTCATTCTGCGCATCACAATCTCTTTGTGTGTCTCTGTTCTTCAATATAAACAACGGGCTGTGTCAGACACACAGCGTCGTCTTCACAGACCCCACCTCCTCATTGGTCAGTGTCAACACTTCCTACTTCTATATCACTAAGGGCAACAGCGTCCTCCAGCCAATCAAAGGTAAGCATAAAATAAGTTATCGAGATTGATGGTCCAAAGGTAGAATAGAATAAAAAAAAAACCGCACACTTAACAAACAGACATATATCAATTAGTGCCAAAAAGACTTATATTAATCTGTTAATGTGTGATCCGTTAATTTATAAGTGTTACAACAGAATTGAAGAGACGATATCACCAATATAAATTATACGTAAAACAGTGATATAATGAAACGTTCTTGAATAAGAGATTTCACATTAAGCTGATATCACTGACTTCTTTAATAGTTTATATTATTCGGAAACAATACCGACCGAGCCGGGGGCCATGGTTGCTGTTGTTTATTTTGGCTCTATAAAGCACCATAACTGTTTTTGGTATCAAAACCAGAGCACAGAATGCTCAAGGTATGCCATTTTAATTCCACACTATTCCATGATATTTACCACACCGTCACGAATACCACATCTTTGATGAAACGATTATTGCACTCTCGCGCAACTAGCTGAACACGTGTCCGAAAAATTTTATTGGCTGATTCGTAAAGTCACAGAACACGAGCATTCAATATGATGATTTATGTCAAATAGACCAGCACGTGATTGGATGTAGAACAACAATACGAAATGTAATAATAAGTTATATTATTGAGGTATGTGATTTGGTTAATGTAAATATATAATAGCTTATAGCTGATGTAACATATGACACCATGCATTTTATCTAGTGGTATCATTAGTTAATTTATTGTTGAATTATCTTCTGCTGGTTCTTTTCTTTAAGAAATTATTACATAGCAATTCTAACTAATCAGTACGACAACGACATCATCATTTACGTCAGTAGATGAAATCGTGATTTTATTAGCCCACAGAGATCTTATTTCATATCAAACGAACTGTTAGTAATTCGGATTAAAATGAAATATATAGTTAAACAGCGTTCCATGGAACTTACGATGAATTTTAATATATATAGAATGTCATTATTAGCATCAACTGTGCAATGACCCTATCATCCGCAAGAAGTCGGTCATAAACAGCTACGAATTACGAAGGCTGATTAATTAGTTGTGAACCTTGTATTGAAGAAGTAGGGATGCCCTTTTTCAGCCTTACTGTTCCCTGGTTATTAAAGACTGTTTACCCGAAGGCTGGGTGTCATTTGGTCATTAGGTTGAAGATGTAGTGACCTTTGAAAAATGAAAGAGCAGTAATTCAATATCTGCAGAAGAAAGGTCCAGCACCTAAGGATGGTTGCAACACTAGGAAATGATGCCCTTTTATTTGCTACAGTAAAATTTGGATTGCAGAATTTAAGCATGGCAGGCAGAGTCTTGGGGAAGACGCCCTTCCTGGAAGAGTACATCCCATTCTTACTGAAAAAAGCTGAAAAAAGCTCTCAACCCGTTCGGTACCATTGCAATTTTTTCGCCAAAAGTCAAACTCTTATATACGAGACTCACAACTTATCAATCAGCCCTCGTTTGTATCATATGTGACTGGTTGCTTAGGGGTTTTGGATCCCAAAGGATTCCTAAAACTCTGGTATATTTTTATACATGTTCGGAAATGCCACTCGAGTTTGGGTACTTAACCTTACGCTTTTGATCAATATATCGACCAGGTTCACTACAAATATATGCACTAATCGTCAGTAATTAAGATTATTGACATTTGCTTACACAAATCTATTTCAAAGAAGAGATGAAACAAATTTGAGATCCACTCAGACAAATTCTATTGAAAATAATCAAACAGATTTGATACAAGTTTTTGTACTCCTCTGATGTTTTGACCGGAAGTAAGACATAATTCAATTTTAAATGAATTCCAATATACTGTCTGGGATTTTTGTCGTTTAAAGTACTTAAATACTTTATCATCTATTGTTGAACTTATAATTTGAAAACGGGCAATTTATGTGACATGATGAAGAAATTTCTATTGTGGACTACATTTTTCACGGCGTAATTGACGGGCGTTATTCGGTTAACAGCGTCAACATTTCAACGTTTTCTGGTTGCGATGGTACTTCTCTTGAGTATAATTATGGAAGTCGTGGGCAGATTTCAACTAAATTCTGCCTGCATTATCACCACGAATCACAGATATCGAATTCATGAGTTCTGACTTGGTGATCACTTTCCCGGATTTTAGCACCCAAAAATAAATATATTAGATTTTTTCTTGATCTTGGAAAAATATATATAAAGACGAATATTTACACACACACATACATACATAGGTCCTGACTGATGAAACACAGCGTATGGCGTGTTTATGAACTTTTAGTATTTGGGCATAGCGAAGCTTGATGACTAAGAAATATTAATGTAAAAATGACGAGAAATGACTTTATACAAGTCTCGTCTAGTTCAACCTGGTTTGTCAAAAAATTGAAATAGGCATGAGGTCAAAATGCTAATAATGCATGCTAAGACAGCATTTATGTAATACATGTTCATATATATTTCCTATTGAAGCCTACTCGTTTATCTTTTATTTTATCAACACACCATTCAGCTGGCTATTTATCATGTTACAGAGTGTGACGATCCTCCACCAGAGACAGGAGTTGTCTGGGGAGCGGGAACCAGCTTTCTTAGTAGTAGGAGGCCATATACTTGTGCTGGTGCCCTACTGCCTAAAGTTTCAGATGTGGAGTGTCATACTTCAGGAAACTGGACTCTGATGTCCGATTTCTGTAGAGGTAAGGCGATTTCATTACGCACTTGTTTCACCAGGTAAGTATTATGTATTTTTCTGAGAACAGTCCTTAGCTTTTTATACTTAGCTTCACATTAATAATTTATAAAGCAACACATGTGTAAAGCTCAACGTAATTTTCAATACTATTTCAACATTCATGCAAACACAAATCATTTCTTTTGGAAAAGTACATACAAAATGACTTTCATACTATTATATATCTGTTGAATAATAAATATAGCTTGAATGTGGTTTGTTTGTGTCGTAGATCTGGAAAGTTGTGAGGACGTACAGATGTGTAGTAGTACCAACCTGGATGGTACCTACCAGTTATACCCACCAGTACTCGGGGGTCATGGGGTCAACATCTACTGTCATAACATGGCCACGGTACCTCAGGCCTATGTTACACTGTTTGAGGAGAATATGTCCCGGAATGACTATTCCTTGAGAACATGGACATTTCCTTGCATTTTTCAAGACCGTGTCGGCGATGCTACAGCATATTTTAACAAAATCAGCGTTAGTCTTGTGGTAAGATAAATTTCCTCAAACATAAGAAACGTGTACCTGTTCACAGATGTTACAGACAAACGTGAACCTGTTCACAGATGTTACAGACAAACGTGAACCTGTTCACAGATGTTACAGACAAACGTGAACCTGTTCACAGATGTTACAGACAAACGTGAACCTGTTCACAGATGTTACAGACAAACGTGAACCTTTTCACAGATGTTACAGACAAACGTGAACCTGTTCACAGATGTTACAGACAAACGTAAACCTTTTCACAGATGTTACAGACAAACGTGAACCTGTTCACAGATGTTACAGACAAACGTGAACCTGTTCACAGATGTTACAGACAAACGTGAACCTGTTCTCAGATGTTACAAACAAACATGAACCTGTTCACAGATGTTACAAATCAATGTTCACTTGTTGACATCTGTTACATATAAAAATTATCCACACGCGTTAAATATTAATGTCATCTTGCTTCAGGTATTACAATACAACCTTCACCTTGTTTAACTCGTACCCTGTCATCCTTCACAGGATCTAAGATGAATGTCATTATAGCTGTCGTCTTGTTCACTGGTGGTAACATTGTAACCGTTACAATATAGCCTTCACCTTGTTCACTGATGGTTACATTGTAACTGTTACAATATAGCCTTCACCTTGTTCACTGATGGTTACATTGTAACTGTTACAATATAGCCTTCACCTTGTTCACTGGTGGTAACATTGTAACTGTTACAATATAGCCTTCACCTTGTTCACTGGTGGTAACATCGTAACCGTTACAATATAGCCTTCACCTTGTTCACTGGTGGTAAAATTGTTACTGTTACAATATAGCCTTCACCTTGTTCACTGATGGTTACACTGTTACTGTTACAATATAGCCTTAACCTTCTTCACTGGTGGTAACATCGTAACCGTTACAATATAGCCTTCACCTTGTTCACTGGTGGTAACATTGTTACTGTTACAATATAACCTTCACCTTGTTCACTGATGGTTACACTGTTACTGTTACAATATAACCTTCACCTTGTTCACTGATGGTTACATTGTTACTTTTACAATACAGCCTTCATTTTGTTCACAGGTGATTACATTGTTACCTTTACAATATAGCCTTCACCTTGTTCACGGCCGCTTTCATTGTAACCGTCATCTTGTTCACGGACGTTTACAATATAACCGTCACAATATATATTGACATTAAAAGAAGTTATTCTTTGGTTCAAAGATGTCAATCGGTTAAAGTTTAGCAGGGTTTTTTTTTCATTTGACTGAAACATTCGGTCTCATTGGCCTTATTAATAAACTTTTTAAATTATAAAAGTATCAATGCAACTTTTTCTTCCGATCAATATTAAGTTCCGGGTATAACTAGAGTGTACACCAAAATAGTGATATGCGTGACGTCATGAATTATCTGGAAATATGATATTTAGCTGTTATTGTTATATTTACATATTTTTAATTTAGGACATGTCTGTGAACAGGGATGACTACACATTTGCAGTCACGTGTCAGGAATCGCCCAGTCGATCTATCCCTGGGTTTGGGGAGGCTGGTGGGTGTTCACATGACTACATGTGGAGAGATTATAGGCAATGTCCAGCACCAGGTGTCTTTGTTATCAACACCAATGGTACAGGATTGAAAATCAGTCCTACTGTAAGTGAAATAAATGTGACCTGACACTATAACCAAATAGTTAATACGCAAATATTATTTGTCAATGGCTTCATGTCCACTCGTTACAGTTTCTTTAGTAGGCATGCTCAAGTTAACATAACGTGTCAAAATCTAAATGTCTTCACTAACATAGACCATGTCTGAGAATTAACTTTGTGCTGGAGCTTTCTCGAGTTGTAAATTTACCGGTATGTTCACGTGATTTCTTCGGAGTTAAACGTTTATATTTTTCTGTTCACATTACATAGCTCACTTAATCCTGGCGTGGACGTTACCAGTTTTCCATACTTGTCTGTACTATTCATGTTAAGTTGGCTGTCGCTGATCCTTCTTTATATATCTTTACATACACATTTATCGTAGTATATTTTTTTCAATTTTGTAATAAAATCTGAGTCATGTCGATACTAGTGCAGCTGGTCAGCGGATGGCGCATACGGATCCAGGGTAGAACCGATTGAGTGGTCTTCAGACGGATTAAAAATACAGACAACTTTTGATGCGTGGTGCGGTTCATTCAAACCTGATGCTTTGTATCTGGAATATAGCAGCAGTTCCGGTAAGTAGTTCTTGATAAAGAGTAGATAATCAAATCAATTTACTGAGGTAATGTAAAAACCGTAATATATAAATTTCAAATGCTCTCAAATGCATGACTTCGTCTTTTCAGATATTCGCGGGATTGCGACTATACCTACATGCCCGCCCAACTAATTTGCGAGTGACGATGATCCATGAAAGATATCAACCTTCCATGAGTTATCGAATACTGGAACACGGACTAATTAGCTGTTGAAAACGATAGCAATGACACTCCAGCAAAGATCTCAAAAACTAATTAGCTATTGAAAACGATAGCAATGACGCTCCAGCAAAGTTCTCAAAAACTAATTAGCTATTAAAAACGATAGCAATGACGCTCCAGCAAAGATCTCAACAACTAATTAGCTATTGAAAACGAGAGCAATGACGTTCCGATAAAGCCCTGAGTTACTGCTTATTTATTGCAAAACCTATAAGAATCAAGTCTTTGAATATGTTAGTTTCTGCCAGTACTAGATTTTGATATGTCCTACAGATGGATACTTTCCTGGCCTGTGAAGTATTAAAGCGAACTTTTATCTACAAGTTTATTTTCTGTATAAGATTTTGTACATTTATTATCGTTATCATTTGGTTTATTTGATAATCACGTTCTGACGGAAAGAATAAAACAAAATCTGTGTAAGTAGGGAATGCCCGGTTCTTCTATATATTATATTTATCTATATATAGTGACAATGTTATGTAACCTTGACGTATCAAACTCTAAGGATAAAAAATAAACACATGCCGAGGTTTTATTTCTTATTCGGTTATTTTTAGACTGTGTCAACACAGTTATTTTTAGACTGTGTCAATACGTGGCTATTTTTAGACTGTCTCAATACACGGTTATTTTTAAACTGTGTCAGCACACGATTATTTTTAGACTGTGTCAACAGACGGTTATTTTTAGACTGTGTCAACCCATCGTTATATTTAGACTGTGTCAACACACCATTATTTCAGACTGTTTTAACACACCGTTTATTTTTAGACTGTGTCAACACACCGTTATTTTTAGACTGTGTCAACACACTCTAGCACTATTTTCAATTTTCTATTCTACTATATCTATATATATGCAATAAGATCTATCTCACATTCGAAATCTCTGTACTTATATGCCGACTAAACTTCTCGCTTTGTAAGATCTATGAAAGTAATCGGTTAAAACATAATTGAACAAGTAAATTACTAGAAATGTTTTTGCTGACAACATCGAATACCCTAAATCAACAATTTATTAAGGTTTGATGTTTATTATTCGCTATGTAATACCATATTACAAAGCAAATGTGTCATCTGTTAAAACAATTAACATGCTGTCGAATAACGAATAGTGATACAACACATTAACAATGAAGATCCAACAACGACGTGACCAGGTTAGTGATATAACACATTAACAATGAAGATCCAACAACGACGTGACCAGGTTGGTGATATAACACATTAACAATGAAGATCCAACAACGACGTGACCAGGTTAGTGATATAACACATTAACAATGAAGACCCAACAACGACGTGACCAGGTTAGTGATATAACACATTAACAATGAAGACCCAACAACGACGTGACCAGGTTAGTGATATAACACATTACTGATGAAGATACAACAACGACGTGACCAGGTTAGTGATATAACACATTAACAATGAAGACCCAACAACGACGTGACCAGGTTAGTGATATAACACATTACTGATGAAGATACAACAACGACGTGACCAGGTTAGTGATATAACACGTTAACAAGGAAGATCCAACAACGACGTGACCAGGTTAGTGATATAACACATTAACAATGAAGATCCAACAACGACGTGACCAGGTTAGTGATATAACACATCACTGATGAAGATCCAACAACAACTTGACCAGGCTAGTGATATAACACATTAACAATGAAGATCCAACAACGACGTGACCAGGTTAGTGATATAACACATTACTGATGAAGATACAACGACGTGACCAGATTAGTGATATAACACATTAACAATGAAGACCCAACAACGACGTGACCAGGTTAGTGATATAACACATTAACAATGAAGATCCAACAACGACGTGACCAGGTTAGTGATATAACACATTAACAATGAAGATCTAACAACGACGTGACCAGGTTAGTGATATAACACATTAACAATGAAGATACAACAACGACGTGACCAGGTTAGTGATATAACACATTAACAATGAAGATACAACAACGACGTGACCAGGTTAGTGATATAACACATTAACAATGAAGATCCAACAACGACGTGACCAGATAAGTGATATAACACGTTACTGATGAAGATACAACAACGACGTGACCAGGTTAGTGATATAACACATTAACAATGAAGATCCAACGACGACGTGACCAGGTTAGTGATATAACACATTAACAATGAAGATCCAACAAAAACGTGACCAGGTTAGTGATATAACACATTAACAATGAAGATACAACAACGACGTGACCAGGTTAGTGATATAACACATTAACAATGAAGATCCAACAAAAACGTGACCAGGTTTGTGATACTTTATGCATAAGTGCTTCGCCGACCAGAATAAGTCCTTCTTAAAAAATATAATATGAAATATGACCAGGTGTTCAGTAAGGGTAAGCATCTTCTATTTTATGTCGAAACTCTTCTTATAATTGTAAAGTCAATCCAAGTTAGACATGTATCTAGGCTTTTGACGATGAAACTATCAATAACGAGAATCAAGCACATCCAGTGTCTCATAAGTAAATAGAACAATTCCAAATGAGATTATTATGGTGAAACCTCTCAATTGTCTTCATTGTCCTACATTTTGCTTTGTAAATTTTATATCTGTCCGCTGTCAACATCTCTCGTGGTGTTGTTAGGTTCGGGAGTCTTCAAATATCAAATCAAATACGATTTGTAAACAAGATAGTTTGGGGGAATCAGGATCATTGCTATCTATAAATGGAACTTGAAGAAAAGAAAAATCGATACTATCCCGTTAAAATGTCTTAGCTGCAAGCTGTCATTATTTAATGGTAAAATGTGGCCCCGTCCCATAGTCGGAAGAGATCGAGGTAAGAGCTGATTTAGAATTCTGGTGGCTATAAATAAGATCGACATTGGCAATATTATTTTTTCATATAAAAACGTGACATTACCAATATATATCGACGCAACAGGCATGATCTTTTCCTGTTGTCAGGATTGACGGCACAGTGATAGTGGAGAGCCATGAAAGAAAAGTCTATGCGTCGCCGGAAACCACAGAAGGTGGCTGAGAGTTCTGTGTGCCGACAAGTAGAAGATGCATGATATGGTACATGGTGGGGAAAGCTGGACGGTTTCAGGAGATAATTTGATTACCCAAGTCGGCACACATATAGAGGGGTAGTGAACAAAACATCAAGAATGGAGGGGCCTCTTGAATATGGAACTGTGTGGCATCACTTACATCTATATTAATGAAGGTGATAAACATGAGTTAAGTTGAAGGACTCTGAAATCCCAGTGTCACATCGTTCGATTACCTCTGGAATAACTCAATTTACTATGAAAAAAATCACGCAAAAGAGAGGAATCGTTAGTTCCGATGGGTACATTACAAAACTCAAAGAAGATCTTGCATTGAAGATCTTGGTCTATATATTCCTTGCTTTTTTACTTTTTCATGAAATAGAATCCAAATTAGATCACACGCACGTACTACTTCTCTTCTTGAAGATAATGCTTCCTAACTAGAGTTAGTATACAACGGCAATATCTGTATAAGGATGATAAATAAGACAATATATACTTGCACAGTATATTGGTTTTCTATTTCAGGTGCAGAAAAAAACCAATTCGAGTTCTTCAGAATCCACATCCTATACAATCCTGTAGGCAGTAGAGTAAGGTATAAGACAACATAATGACAATAGTTATCTTTTTCTCCGACTAAAACCACATCGTAAAAGGGTATTAGTAACAAAACGGTAAATTCAACAGACAATGAAAAGTGCTGGTTACCGCCAGGCGGCGCAATGATATGGTCTGATGCAGCAATGGGGACTCATATGTATGACTGCACTTTCAAGAAAAAAACAGCAAGAATATGCCAATATGTCAACAGATATATGGTCAATAATATCACCACATACAAGAGACAACAATATCACCACATACAAGAGGCAACAATACCACCACATACAAGAGGCAACAATACCACAACATACAAGAGGCAACAAGACAACCACATACAAGAGGCAACAATACCACCACATACAAGAGGCAACCATACCACCACATACAAGAGGCAACCATACCACCACATACAAGAGGCAACAATACCACCACATACAAGAGGCAACAATACCACCATATCATATACAAGAGGCAATCATACCACCACATACAAGAGACAACAATACCACCACATACAAGAGGCAACCATACCACCACATACAAGAGACAACAATACCACCACATACAAGAGGCAACCATACCACCACATACAAGAGACAACAATACCACCACATACAAGAGGCAACAATACCACCACATACAAGAGGCAACAATACCACCACATACAAGAGGCAACAATACCACCACATACAAGAGGCAACCATACCACCACATACAAGAGGCAACAATACCACACATACAAGAGGCAACAATACCACCATATACAAGAGGCAACCATACCACCACATACAAGAGACAACAATACCACCACATACAAGAGGCAACAATACCACCACATACAAGAGGCAACAATACCACCACATACAAGAGACAACAATACCACCACATACAAGAGGCAACCATACCACCACATACAAGAGGCAACAATACCACCACATACAAGAGGCAACAATACCACCACATACAAGAGGCAACAATACCACCACATACAAGAGGCAACAATACCACCACATACAAGAGGCAACAATACCACCACATACAAGAGGCAACAATACCACCACATACAAGAGGCAACAATATCACCACATACAAGAGGCAACAATACCACCACATACAAGAGACAACAATACCACCACATACAAGAGGCAACAATACCACCACATACAAGAGGCAACAATACCACCACATACAAGAGACAACAACACCACCACATACATGAGGCAACAATACCACCACATACAAGAGGCAACCATACCACCACATACAAGAGGCAACAATACCACCACATACAAGAGGCAACAATACCACCACATACAAGAGGCAACAAGACAACCACATACAAGAGGCAACAATACCACCATATCATATACAAGAGGCAATCATACCACCACATACAAGAGACAACAATACCACCACATACAAGAGGCAACAATATCACTACATACAAGAGGCAACAATACCACCACATACAAGAGACAACAATACCACCACATACAAGAGACAACAATACCACCACATACAAGAGGCAACCATACCACCACATACAAGAGACAACAATATCACTACATACAAGAGGCAACAATACCACCACATACAAGAGGCAACAATACCACCACATACAAGAGGCAACAATACCACCACATACAAGAGACAACAATACCACCACATAATTATACCACCACATACAAGAGCAACAATACCATTCTTATCAATCAATTTTATTAATTATTTCTCATAGAAAGAAATGCAGATACTTATGGCCATTTAATTCTTCCTTTCCTGACTAGTCGTTAGTTTTTATTAATATAGTATACATCATTTTTGTTCGCGTGCATTTCAAAATGACAATCATATGCCAAAGGTCAATAAATAGTTCACCAAAACCAAACTTAACAGGTCAAACAACCATCAATATCAATTGATATGATTTTTTCCATTGCCACATCATATAACAATATAGATATTCCAAAGGTCAATATATAGGTCATCAAAGATTAGATATCACATATGTCATCAGCGTAAATCAATATCGTGTACTTTTTCATTTCCTCATTTTTTTTAAAATGCAAAGTTTTGTCAAATGTCAATATATAGGTCACAAAAGGTTACAGGTCAAATAAGTAATCAATATCAATCAATAAAGTATAATTTTTCTGCACATCTTATTAAACAAGTAATTGCGCCAAAAGTAAATACATACGTTACTAAAGGTCACAGGTAAACCAAGCTATCAATATCAATTAATATGTGATATAACTGATATAGATTCATTGACCATACTGATCATTAAGTTTTAAATTTCATTCTCATAGTTTTCTCAGTAAGGTGACAACAGATTACAGTGACTTGTTAGCTTTTGGTGTAATAGTTTGATACCAGGTACAGAAAAAGTTATAAAAAGAGATGAATTCTTTGTCCCTTCACAGCAGATTCTGGTGGTAACCCTTACGTAATTGTTGTCAACAGCATCCCCTCGTTAGGACACCTATACAGAGCAAAGGCCTGATCTACACACAGTATTATAGCATAATTGTATGTGAGGATATATATACAAAAAATATTTGTGAGGATGCATTCCAAAATTAATTGAATACACGGTTTATCACTAAACCCTTAAAAACAATCTGCCTCCTCCTCACGCGACATTTGCAGAAGATAAACCCAAATATGTATCTCGTTTTCCAGTTATCCTGCTTCGCCCACATGATCTCTCGTTTTCCAGTAATTCTGCATCGCCCACAAGTTCTCTCGTTTTCCAGTTATCCTGCTTCGCCCACAAGTTCTCTCGTTTTCCAGTTATCCTGCTTCGTCCACAAGTTCTCTCGTTTTCCACATCGCCCACAAGTTCTCTCGTTTTCCACATCGCCCACAAGTTCTCTCGTTTTCCACATCGCCCACAAGTTCTCTCGTTTTCCACATCGCCCACAAATTCTCTCGTTTTCCACATCGCCCACAAGTTCTCTCGTTTTCCACATCGCCCACAAGTTCTCTCGTTTTCAAGTACTTCTGCATTTCCCACAAGTTTTCTCGTTTTCCAGTTATCCTGCATCGCCCACAAGTTCTCTCGTTTTTCACATCGGCCACATGATCTCTCGTTTTCCAGTTATCCTTCTTCACCAACATGATCTCTCGTTTTCCAGTTATCCTGCTTCGCCCACATGATCTCTCGTTTTCCAGTTATCCTGCTTCGCCCACAAGTTCTCTCGTTTTTCACATCGACCACATGATCTCTCGTTTTCCAGTTATCCTGCTTCGCCCACATGATCTCTCGTTTTCCAGTTATCCTGCATCGCCCACAAGTTCTCTCGTTTTTCACATCGCCCACAAGTTCTCTCGTTTTCCACATCGGCCACATGATCTCTCGTTTTCCAGTTAACCTGCTTCGCCCACATGATCTCTCGTTTTTCCACATCGCCCACATGATCTCTCGTTTTCCAGTTATCCTTCTTCGCCCACATGATCTCTCGTTTTCCAGTTATCCTACTTCGCCAACATGATCTCTCGTTTTTCCACATCGCCCACATGATCTCTCGTTTTCCAGTTATCCTACTTCGCCCACATGTTCTCTCGTTTTTCCACATCGCCCACAAGATCTCTCGTTTTCCAGTCATCCTGCTTCGCCCACAAGTTCTCTCGTTTTCCACATCGTCCACAAGTTCTCTCGTTTTCCACATCGCCCACAAGTTCTCTCGTTCTTCACATCGCCCACAAATTATCTCGTTTTCCACATCGCCCACAAGTTCTCTCGTTTTCCACATCGCCCACAAGTTCTCTCGTTTTTCACATCGCCCACAAGTTCTCTCGTTTTCCACATCGCCCACATGATCTCTCGTTTTCCAGTTATCCTTCTTCGCCCACATGATCTCTCGTTTTCCAGTTATCCTACTTCGCCAACATGATCTCTCGTTTTTCCACATCGCCCACAAGTTCTCTCGTTTTCCAGTCATCCTGCTTCGCCCACAAGTTCTCTCGTTTTCCAGTCATCCTGCTTCGCCCACAAGTTCTCTCGTTTTCCAGTCATCCTGCTTTGCCCACAAGTTCTCTCGTTTTCCAGTCATCCTGCTTCGCCCACAAGTTCTCTCGTTTTCCAGTCATCCTGCTTTGCCCACAAGTTCTCTCGTTTTCCAGTCATCCTGCTTCGCCCACAAGTTCTCTCGTTTTCCAGTCATCCTGCTTCGCCCAGTGGTTTAAACATTGTAAACACATCGGCAGAGGTTCGAATGAACCTGAACATGTACTTTAGTCCTTGTGAAGGATACAGGTGACAAGGAATGAGATGTGTTAATTATAGTAACACAACAAAACCAGAATTTAGTAAATTATATCCGTTTTATTTTGATTGATTTATCCTCTGTACAGAAATTAACATAACCAGTTTGTTAAGATATTACATCGGAGCAGTGTGTCGTCTTATGAATTAAATTTACAATAAAGTTTATTGTTACGTTCAATATTTCAAGCCTCTCAAGCCTCTCAAGCCGAGTGCATATTGTTTTATACACACCGTCACTGCTTGCATGCTTAACCTCTAGATATCAACTTGTTTCATCGTCTGCCATAATGGCCTTGTACTTCACTATTGTGTGCCTTCAAAATTCATTATTTCCTAAATGACTCGCGATTTGGCAATACATCCGTACCTTGATAACCTCAAACATAGACCAGTCTCTGGTGGTTTTACCGTGGACACACGTGGGGATCTGTTACCTACTTACACGTGTGCAGCGAACCGATGACATTTTGTACACAAATATCTTTACGGAAGTATCAGTTGGACCAAATCGAGTCTTCATTTAACAAGGCGAGGTTAAACAAAGACTTTCATCTGATTTTCTGTGTCGGTGACCTGATGTCATGGCGATGGTTGATCTCCATCTACTAGCACAAACAGTCGTGTACTGCTGTACACTAATCTGTGGGTTTTTTGTGTCCATCCCTGTCGGTTTGACAAACGTAAGTATACCGGCTATGGGTAGTACGGTGGGTAAACCATACACAACCTAGGCAAGTGGTGCTAGTGATGGACAGTCATAAAAAAGTTATATTTGTACTCATCATAGCCCCACAGCGGATATTTGGTCGGGGGAGGGTAGTTGGTGTGAAATGGGGTGAGGTGGAAGGGGGAGGGGTTGTGTCGGAGGTAACCGGGGAATGGAGGGGGGGGGGCGGGGGGTGGATGGTGTGTGTATGTGTTGTGTTGGAGGTAACCGGGGGTGGATGGGGTGTGTATGTTGTGTTGCAGGTAACCGGGGGATGGATGGGGTGTGTATGTTGTGTTGGAGGTAACCGGGGGGTGGATGGGGTGTGTGTGTTGTGTTGCACGTAACCGGGCGGTGGAGGGTGTGTATGTGTGTTATGTTTGAGGTAACCGGGAGATGGATGGGGAGGGGATGTTACCATTGCAGTCATGGTCCATAGCTCACCAGTCCTTACAGGATTTTTTTTAGGAAATTTAGTCATATGGTGTAACTTATTGAAAAGCCTAAGTTCTCAGAATCGTTAATATGGAATATTATGGAGGCTTCTGATTAAAACTGATACATAAAGATTTTGAAAAATAGTAATTATCATTTTCTTAAACATTCGATGTCATTTGGTTCCCATGGTATTCAAATAGTGCTTACACTCAGACACCGGGTCACTAAAGATATGCATTTGTGTAATCCTCATGACTACGACTACATTTCTAGGTTATTTTACCTCGGGCTTAAATTACTCTATAAGCAATACGGAACATGTACTACCTATATAAATTTCCTTTTCACTCGGACGATATAGAAAGAAACCGGAATTCCCATGAAAACACGTGAGAAAAACCAAAGGTCAAGGTAAACATCTGGCTAGAGGGTTTTTCATTACTGTATTATCTAACACGCAAAAGTATTAATCGACAGCGCGCGGTGTTGAACGCTTAATTAAGGGAGCCCATGCACCTCTATTAAACGTAGAAATGGAGGCACAATGAGATACCAAGCTAAAATGGCTTTAGGATTAATGACATACTACAAGTTGTTGTTCTTCAACACAGGACAGCAATCTCTTTAGATATACACAAGAATAGTATCATACTGAGGATTTTTTACACGCGGGGGAAAAAGGTTATATTCAAAAATATTGTTCATATTTTATAAAAAGTCATAGATCTATGAGCTTGTAGTATCACGCTGATGCAACAACTTATTTTGGAAAGAAACTCGTGTTATTAAAATACAATATTGAAAATTGTCAAGATGTTTTAAAACAACATGCCATGAATAGATTCTACATGTGAATTGAAAATTATGACAAAAATTCATAAATCTTATAAATCTTATCAAAATCAGTTTATATTTCATTTTTCATCCTGTTTATCAATTTTGTCTTGTCTGCGATGAAAACTCGCGGAAGTGAAACTAACGTCACTTTAAAGGTTTACATTTAGATCCTTAGCGCAAAATGTCAAGCCCAACTTTTATAAAATTTTGATAAATAGCTAGATCACATGCATGTACATTCTAGGTTTACAAAACATCTTACAGGTTTTGCGGTTCACAAAGGAAGCCGGGAAGCTGGACTTTTTTATTCAGTGTCTGTGAATTGGACTATAGCTTTACCTGTAATTAACACTTATTGTTTAACACCAACACACAGTCTCACTTAAACTGCACAGAATAACAGCTTTTGCCGAGGTAAACACTAAGTTCAAGTTAAGTGAGGAGACACCAATCACATACATACAGAAGGCGTTTACAGCCTTAGTTGAGTTGAGTTCAGCAGAACATAGTTTCATTGTTGAAATCGCCAAACTTGTTTCTCGTTCACGATGAGCAGAAAGTAAGTTATTGTAGTCCTTCATATTTGAAATTTGTTTTACTTTCAGGGAATTTATTTCCTTATATTGTGTAATAAATGTGTAAAAAAAAACCAGACCGTATTTGGTCGACTTTTCTGGAGCTGGTTTATCTCTCTCTGGTAATTCGTTGGTTGTATTAACTATAGTATGCTACGCTAGCCACCTCCTTCAGAAACATTGGTATACATCCTAATAAGTATAACAGGATACCCCTACCTCGGATAGATTGACGGGTATATTCTGTTTACATTTATGATAATTTTAAAAAAATAGTATCTTTCGATGACTTTTTCTGAAGAATATTTATTTTTGTGTAAATTTTGCTAAATTTGTTTGATCTAATTTCAGAAAAATTTTGATGGAATGTGCATGCTGTATGGAGATTTTTCATTGAAGTCTAACCATGAATTGATGATGAAATCCAGTGACCACCTCAACTGTAACTTCTCGATCTATCTTAACGTCCTGGGCAGTATTTTCTACTCTCTATTCCTTCTGGCTTACAACGCTTACGCACTCCACAAATCCAGATCAAATGGCAATGTTGGGTAAGTCAAACTTTCACTGAAATTGATGACGTACAACACAAATTATTACAACGCTGAATGTTACGTCAATATCGGCGTTTGTCAAACATGATTAATATTTACAAAATAAACAAAAAGAAAACAAACAAACAAAAGCAGGAATATTTCATATTGCAAACGCGAGGCTAGAGTCTCTAAGGACACACGTGCTATCTGAAGCTAAAGCATCTAACATATCATACGTGTCACTTTAGGACAAGTAAAGGTCTCCAGTCGCGTGTTATCCGTAGACAGTATTATCCCACATGTCTGTCGTCTTATTTAAGGGATACAGTATCCTACTAGTCACGTGTTATTTAATGGGCTACTATATCCCAATTGTCACGTGATATCTGAGTGCCATAGTATCTCACCATTTACAAGTAATGTGAGACCTATGATATCAGACAATTTATATGTGTTGTATGAGGGCTACTGTATCCCAACCAGCACAATAGTGGTACCCAACCAATCACAAGCGTTGTCTCGGGATACATTATCAAACTAAGCACATATTATCTAAGGCTACAGTAACACACCAATCACAAGTGTTATCTAGGGCTAAAGTAGCCAACCATTCACAAGTGTTATCTAGGGCAAAAGTAGCCAACCAATGACAAGTGTTATCTAGGGCTAAAGTATCCAACCAATCACAAGTGTTATCTAGGGCTAAAGTATCTAACCAATCACAAGTGTTATCTAGGGCTACAATATCCAACCAATCACAAGTGTTATCTAGGGCTACAATATCCAACCAATCACAAGTGTTATCTAGGGCTAAAGTAGCCAACCATTCACAAGTGTTATCTAGGGCTACAATATCCAACCAATCACAAGTGTTATCTAGGGCTAAAGTAGCCAACCAATCACAAGTGTTTTCTGGGACTACAGTATCCCACCAGTCACGTGTTATCTAAGGCTAGAGTTATTTCGGTTTACAATATCCCACCAGTCAGAAGTGTTACATGTATCTGGGACTACATTGTCGAAACTAATAAATGTGCCAAATGGGGACACGATATCCCACCAGTCACGTGTTATCTAAGGCTAGAGTAATACCATTATTTATCTGGGGTTATAGTATCCCACCTGTCTCACGTTTTACTTCAGAATCACAGGTCCAATCAGCCGTGTTATTTCGGAGTTACAATGTCCCAACAAAAGTATATAAATGACACATTATACCATCTGTCAATAATGTTATCTAAAAACTCCATTATCCATTAAGCTTTAATTGTCATAGGTAACGATCAAACATCTCCTTTTAGGTTTGAAATGTGGGTGTTGCCATTCATCCTGCTGAACGCAGTCATGACAATCATGATTCTGGTGTCGTCCTGTATCGTCACTGTAGGACTCAACGAATTCTGTAGCGGGATCACTCAATCCATATTCTACTCCAGGTAAGTTTATATTTAAAACTTAAAGAATCACTGAAGCTAATTACTATACATGGTAGGTATATAGCTGGTTCACTGAAACTAATTACTATACATGGTAGATATATAGCTGGGTCACTGAAACTAATTACTATACATGGTAGATATTTAGCTGGGTCACTGAAACTAATTACTATACATGGTAGGTATATAGCTGGTTCACTGAAACTAATTACTATACATGGTAGATATATAGCTGGGTCACTGAAACTAATTACTATACATGGTAAGTCTGTAGCGGGGTCACTGAAACTAATCAATATACATAGTAAGTCTTTAGCGGGATCACAGGAACTAATTAATATACATCGTAAGTCTGTAGCGGGGTCACTGAAACTAATTACTATACATGGTAAATCTGAAGCGGGATCTCAGAAACTAATTACTATACATGGTAAGTCTGTAGCGGGATCTCAGAAACTAATTACTATACATGGTAAGTCTGTAGCGGGATCTCAGAAACTAATTACTATATATGGTAAGTCTGAAGCGGGATCACTGTATCTAATTACTATACATGGTAAGTTTGTAGCAGATCACTGAAACTAATTACTATACATGGTAAGTCTGTAGCGGGGTCACTAAAACTAATTAATATACATGGTAAGTCTGTAGCGGGGTCACTAAAACTAATTACTATACATGGTAAGTCTGTAGCGGGGTCACTGTATCTAATTACTATACATGGTAAGTTTGTAGCAGATCACTGAAACTAATCAATATACATAGTAAGTCTTTAGCGGGATCTCAGGAACTAATTACTATACATGGTAAGTCTGTAGCGGGGTCACTGAAACTAATTACTATACATGGTAAGTCTGTAGCGGGGTCACTGAAACTAATCAATATACATAGTAAGTCTTTAGCGGGATCTCAGAAACTAATTACTATATATGGTAAGTCTGAAGCGAGATCACTGTATCTAATTACTATACATGGTTAGGTTGTAGCAGATCACTGTATCTAATTACTATACATGGTAAGTCTGTAGCGGAGTCATTGAAACTAATTACTATACATGGTAAGTCTGTAGCGGGGTCACTGAAACTAATTAATATACATAGCAAGTCTTTAGCGGGATCTCAGGAACTAATTACTATACATGGTAAGTCTGTAGCGGGATCTCAGAAACTAATTACTATACATGGTAAGTCTGTAGCGGGATCTCAGAAACTAATTACTATACATGGTTAGTCTGTAGCGGGATCTCAGAAACTAATTACTATACATGGTAAGTCTGTAGCGGGATCTCTGAAACTAATTACTATACATGGTAAGTCTGTAGCGGGATCTCAGAAACTAATTACTATACATGGTAAGTCATGGTAAGTCTGTAGCGGGATCGGGATCACTGTATCTAATTACTATACATGGTAAGTTTGTAGCAGATCACTGAAACTAATTACTATACATGGTAAGTCTGTAGCGGGATCTCAGAAACTAATTACTATATATGGTAAGTCTGAAGCGGGATCACTGTATCTAATTACTATACATGGTAAGTCTGAAGCGGGATCACAGTATCTAATTACTATACATGGTAAGTTTGTAGCAGATCACTGAAACTAATTACTATATATGGTAAGTCTGTAGCGGGATCTCAGAAACTAATTACTATACATGGTTAGGTTGCAGCGGGATCTCAGAAACTAATTACTATAGATGGTAAGCCTGTAGCGGGATCTCAGAAACTAATTAATATACATCGTAAGTGTGTAGCGGGATCTCATAAACTAATTACTATACATGGTAAGTCTGTAGCGAGGTCACTAAAACTAATTACTATACATGGTAAGTCTGCAGTATATCGTTTACTTACATGTATATTTCGTTTCGTTGTTGTGGGAAAGTTTTTCTAAATGCCCTCTACCATTTGATAGCATTTCCGACTTGATCAGAAAAACTAAATGGTGGGCGATAAAACTGTCATTACCATACATTGTTTAAGTCCTACTGAATATTTTGATCAAACCATGTATGAAAATTCAACTTACGGTTCTTACTTAAGGTTTCAGTTGAAAATAGTTTTTTAGGGTAACGAACTTTGAAAAAGAAAACTTCTCGGGTTCTGCAAGGCTTAAAGCTTTAATATTTTAAATCTAGTAAGTTCTGGTAATTGGCTATCAGCTGTGTTGGTATAAATGATCTTTAGTCTATTTTAAGGTCACATGGGTTGTTTTTTTTATAAATATTGAAATGCCTTCTTACCAATAACCAAGATTCACAGGATGACCATATGGACAGAAATGAGAAAAGAAATTGCATTTCGTCAACTTCCAGTTTACGATAGGGTTTTTAATTCTATATTGGGCAAAAATGTTGGGCATCAAGCTGAAGAATTTCTTCTTGGGTTCCACATTTTCTCGAATGTCGACATTTCACATTAAGATGCGGGTTATTGGCTATCAGATTTGATGATATGAATGACCTTAACCTGTTTTCAATGCCACAGGGTCAGTTTTTTAATATCTTATTTTGGGTAACAAATTTGAAAAAAAAACTTCTTTTAAGTCCAATAAGATCTTGTTTTTTTTACATGTAAGATGTCCGGGTCATTAACTGCCATGTTTGATAATATGAATGAATTTGATTTTTTTTCTAGATCACAGGAGTCAGTTTTGTTAAAATCTTGAAATAGTTTTAATCCATAACCAAAAGGCACAGGTTTGACGATATTTGATCCGTTGCATACTGAGACCTTTTGCTACCAACAGCACTTAGTGAAAAATAAATAGTACTTAGTCAACTTCCGGTTTTGATTTGAGGTCAAAAGTCAGTGCTAATTTGGGTAACAAACTTTGAAACACTTCTTATAAAGTTTCACAAAGTCTTGAATCTTGGTATTTCACATGATGAATGTTCGTGCCATTAGTTATCCGGTTTGCTAATATGGATGACCTTGACCAACTTTCAAGGTCATAGGGATCTATTTTGTTAAAGTTTTAAATGACTTCTTCTCAATTACTTAGAAGCACAGGGTGATGTTTGGTCAAATGCATACTGAGACCAAGTGCGTGCTATATCGACAGTAATAAGTAAAAAAAAAATAATTTAGCCAACTTCCGTTTTTCAGTAGACATCAATTTCAGAAGTATTATTTTTAGTAACACTTTTCAAGTTCCATAAGGGCTAGGGTAATGTTTGATAATACGAATGAATTTGACCCTTTTTCGCGGTCAAAGGAGTCAGTTTTGTTAAAATCTTTAAATTACCTCTTTTCAGTAAACAAGAGGTACAAGGTGGTGCTATTTGATCATTTGCATACTGCGATCAATCAAATTTCGAGTGACAAATGGCAACTTCCGGTTCTCGTAAGGGGGTCACATTCAGAAAGTTCTTTTCCGGGTATCACAAATAAAAAATCTAAATTTGCACAGTCCGCAGTCTATATATGTAATATATTGTTTTTCTCGAATGTTTGGCTGTCATGTTTGTGGAAATTATTGACCTTTAGGTAAGGGATTGAACTTTAAATGTAAAGCTGTGAAATTTGCTGCCCAACAATTTCTTGTTTATTTATTGTAACTTAGTTCATTAAATCACTGAGTCCATACATTTTAACAAGTTAAAACTCTCTACTGATACAATCATTCATGTTTAAGACAGCGTTTAGGTAACACATTAATTATCTTTAAGGTATTGAAAGAAAAAATAGCATGATATGTTCTTGGATTTAATGTTTACCTGGTAATTAATGTCACTTTCATATTTTATAGTTGTATTGATGCCCAAAACAAAGAATGGATCAACGTCAACACTGGTGAAATGTTCAATGTTGGAAACTTCTACGAACTTCTAACCGTGGCAAAGGTAACTTTAGTTTATCTAGTATGCAATAATGTAATGGTCATATACAACATGTAGTTATCCATAATGGGTTATTTGGGTCAGGTTTGTGTAACTTACTCACTCTCCAACAAAAGTTATATTGTTTGTCTAAGCGGGTACAAATTCATCATTTTTATACATCCTGGGATTAAGATCGGAGGTGAATGCTCCTATCCTAAACCTTGGAGGTTTGCTCTCAACCAGAAGCTGAGATCACGAATTGTATGTCCTGTCTGATAATTAATTGTGCTTTGGGTGAAACACTTCATCCCAGTTGCTATAGATAGCAAATGTCGGGGTTTTTCGCATAGTGTTTACATTAGCGAGATAACAATCAGTATATTCAACGAAATCTTGCCTAAAATGACCGTGGTTGTTCACAGAACCATAAAATTCGGTAACAGGCAACGTTTTTTCACATTTTTAATACAGTATGGACGTTGATCTGTGATAGCATTCATTTCAGGGTTTTAACCATCAGCTTTAATTTGTCACCGGTTAAAGAGACACGTTTGCTTTCGGTATGTTATTGTTATCGATTTTGTTTTTTATTCCATTGACTTCAAACTATTATCGATGCCCTCTATTATAACCTTCCTATTTTAGCTTGCCTCTTGGGTGTCCTTCATGCTCTGGATAGGACAGGTGGCTCTGGGTATCCTACGATTTTTCAGAAACAGGGCATACAGAACACGGAGTTCTGATAGAGATCGTTTCAGTGACATTAATCCATCTGCATAAACTAACAGAATCGGGAATGAAAAAAAAACAAGCAAAAATCGAGCGATCATCTTTCATCAGTTGCAGTTGCATATCCCCACAATATAATTGTAAGTAAACGAAGAAAAATGACACGGATTGAGACATCTCAAACGTGTCAGTGATCAAGATTCATCAGACGGATTAGTGGTAAATCCTCTATTAGGGACATGAAAGGACAAAGATTGGTGATGACACTTTGAAACGAGTGGAAATGGTGATCAAATATCATCAGTAACTACTAGAAATTAGGGGATTGGTGATCCAGATCTGAAGTTATAGTGAAGACCATTTAAACTGGCGGTTAATGTCGAGATTTTGTTAGACAGAACCAGAGAGAATGAAAGGAAGTGGGAGTGTTCTTGTCTATATATGTAGTAGCATTTTCATGGAAACATTGTTAGAAGGGAGGATTATGCAAAAACGGTTTCAATATGTTGACTTCTGCTACTTTGTTGTGGAGAGGAAAAAAGAAGAAAAATCTTGCCTGTCATGAGTTTTGTATATTTCTTAGGTTGCCATTATCCTGTAAACTATTATGTTTGTTTCTGACTTTACTATAGATCTATTATATATCCTTTTTATAAGTTATAGTTCGGAACTCCTCATGTTTCTGTATAAGATACCTATAGTCATTGGTCACCACGTAGTCAGTGTTAGCGTGTTCACTATTACTGTTAATGACCAATGAATCTGTATAAATTATTGGTATACAGCACAAAGGAATGTTTTCTGAGAAACATTATCGACTTTTGTAATCTCTTTCCCGTCTTAGTCAAGACTGCCTTGCACGTGTTCCAAATCATATTTGTTCGTTTACAAGATTTTGTTGAAGGAGAATATAGAAAATTCGCGACGAGTTCCTAAAATCTCATAAGAAAAGGATATCATTGGTTTGTGAAACGACATTTGACTAGGTTGATATGAAATCGAAGTTGAGATGTTCTCACTCTGTATCTCCTTTGATGAAGTCTCAATGCAAATGACAACATGACGCTATGACATCACAAAGGAGATAATGGGAACCTTAGGCCATTCACAGTTTAACCAGGAGATAGTGCATGTTTGTAATAACAATCTGCACAATAGTAATATTTACACGTATACTATATTGCAGGGTAGTAATGTAAAGGCATGATTACACTGATAACAGGGTGTTATTACACTGATAACGGTGTTATTACACTGAGAGCATTGTAATTATGTAAGGATGTTATTGCACTGATAACATTGTAATTATGTAAGGGTGTTATTACACTGATAACGGTGTTATTACACTGAGAGCATTGTAATTATGTAAGGGTGTTATTACACTGATAACAGGGTGTTATTACACTGATAACAGTGTAAGTATGTAAGGGTGTTATTACACTGATAACGGTGTTATTACACTGAGAGCATTGTAATTATGTAAGGGTGTTATTACATTGATAACAGGGTGTTATTACACTGAGAAGTTATGTAAGGGTGTTATTACACTGATAACAGGGTGTTATTACACTGAGAGCAGTGTAATTATGTAAGGGTGTTATTACACTGATAACAGGGTGTTATTACACTGATAACAGTGTAAGTATGTAAGGGTGTTATTACACTGATAACAGGGTGTTATTACACTGATAACAGTGTAAGTATGTAAGGGTGTTATTACAGGGTACTTGTGTAAAAGATGTTGTAATACTGATAAGAGTCTAGTACATTTTATAAGCTGTGTTCCATCAAGATACATAAAAACAAACATACTTAACCCTTAAATAATTTGATTCTAATCAATGTTGTAGTCATGTCGGAGATTTTTGTATAATTCTCTTTGTAAATATCCATTAAAGGTAGCAGACATGTGACATATGATTTCATTTAGTTATGTTATCATTAACTGAAGTTGATTCCTGGATTGAGAATATCGCCAACTGGAATGGATATCATCTTTCTCGATATTCCGAAATTACCGACAAACTCATTAGATTAGAAAATGTCACAGTCATCTTTCTCTTCTCACATTTCACATCACAAATTTTAGCATGTCGTTATAATACATGTCTTCTATGTCTATGTTGATCATCTGCCTCGACCGTACAGATGGCTGCCATCTTTGGACTAGCGTCAAAATTAATAAATATATCGGGGATTAGATCATGAAACTATCGAATTAAAAAATGCGGTACATAACCAATATTTTAGAATACCATGTAAAGTTGCCTACAAAAAATTGCGTTGTGTTTCTAAGCGTAACGTTAAATTATCTGACGTCAAAGAACGCGATAATATTTCCCGCACTTTTTTGAGCGCCGCTGCATTTGATGTTTGGATAAACTTTTTTCATTTGTCTTCCATCTAAAACTGTAATGAAAAGATAAATTAATGGTTTCCTATTAAATATCACATATATTTCACTCGTATGACAGAATATATCTATATTTTTACACTCGTGAAAATAAATTCTTTCATACTCATGAAATTTATATGATATTAAAAGAGAAACCATTAAATATCCTCTATCGATATGTTTAAATATGTGTACTAATTTTAATTTTCACATTAGTGTGTATAGGTAAATGGTCTATGTGTACGATAATCTACAGTAATCTTGCTTTAGTCGCTTTCATGGGGTGATTAATTGCTCTTGAGACAACTGTTAAATGTGTCTCCAGAACAGCTCAATTCAAACCCAATGAAACTGATAAAATCAAGATTCAATGCTTACATTTCCGTTAAGATGGTTTGTTTTCAATATTTCTAAGAAATCATCCAAGTCTGCAGTTTCTAGACCTAAGTCTTGTGGATTGTGTTCGAAAAATACTAAGTCCGACATTTTAACTTACTCAGGGGACAAAGAACGGTTATGCGACACATTTTGAATTAAAATACAAAGGAGAATAATAGAATTGTGATGATTGAATTTGCCAGTATATTTTAGAAACAAGTACATATTTGTTGGGGACTGCGCGTGGAAAGTCCTTCTCTGTCAGAATTCAGTGTGATTTCTTTTATATGTGACATAAATTTAGAATATGGATGTCACAACGAATCTTTGAAATCATCCTATTACCTCCATAACAAGATGTATTCTGCCATTAATGTGATTGGACATTACAGACACTTTGTGAAGTAACCATTTAAATAACATATTATTTAATTCACCTTCAGTTACACATAACATCATAACTTCAAAAATGAAATGCATAGCAAAAACTTAACATGTATAACATTATTAAAGACTCGTGTTTTGTCAAAGTTAATTTGTCATTTTTTATCACTAAAAGCCTGAGAGTGTGTGTGTGTGTGTGTGCGAGAGAGAGAGAAAGAGAAAGGGATACACTTGTCAGTATTGGAATGTAAATGTTAACCAAACATAGAAAAAAAAACATGAATTAGTTTAATCCGACTTCAGGTGACATTCACCATTTAAAACTATTCAATATTCATGACATTCAAACTTTATTAAATGCCCATCACATCCCGTGCTAGTGTTGTCGTTCTCTGTGCTGTGGCCTTACAGATCCGTCAGGTATAACATATATCACACACCTTAGCCAACCGAGCAAGGAAAGACATCAACTTGAAATTAAATCACTTTATTATGTAAACGTTACTTATTTTCTAACAAATCTGATGTCCAGAACATGTGATAGTGAAGCAAAATCAAAATATATTTGTGTCTTTAATATACTGTTGGGTGGATTGGCAAATAATTTCATTTTTATGTTTCAAGATTTCAAAACAGTAGAAAGTGCAGGTTCAACGTGATGAAATCATTTCGCTCGTGATACAATTTTAAGTGTTGATCAGCGTAATTTTCACATAGAAAGATGAATGAAAAGCATCTTCAACAGGATGTCCACACTGGCAATTTCTACAGTTAATCAAATTAGCACGAAATAAATCTTGATGTATAGTGTTAGACCCGATTCTTAACCTAGTGTGTAAGATGTTATATTTCTGTCACCAATTAGATAAGAGTTTTTATACCTCTAAAAATAATTCACTTCAATCTCATAATAATTTAATAAGTATATACAGATGAATAATGATAGTAATTTTTTGGGCTTTTATGACAGTAGTAACCTTACAATATCTGATGACCTCTTTATTATTTTAGATGATCTGACCACACGAGGACATTCTAGCAATTTTACTTTCCAAATATATGTTACTTAAATTCCAATCCAAATTGTCTGGAGAAATCTGCATTTAAGAAACGTTTAGCAAAAAATTCATTTATATTTAACACTAATGAATTACTGATGATGAGTGGAGATTGATCAAAATCAGAAATCATATTTATCTTTTTTAAAGCGATAGCAACACCATTTCTTAATATTTCTTGATAATTGAACATTTGACATCGGTATGCAAATATACTGGTACTCTTAATTCTGAAAAAGTCAGACATTAGACTTGAAATCGGCAGTGGTAGGTGAAATAATACGACGATTCTAAAACAACGTTAGAAAATACCAACATGTCAATATAATCAAAATTCAAATTCCATGATAACAAGGCAAAATATAAACACAAGAAAGATTTACACGGAAAATCATGAAAAACGTACAAGGAAAGTAAGATCAGGTGTTCCGGAAAAGTAAGCGTCTTCTGCTTCATTGACGACACCCACCATGTAAATCTCGGTAAATCCAAGTAAGTAATGTCACGTTCTCAGATGAGAGCAAGGTATACAACAACGGAACAAACGGGAGAGTTAACGAGCATTTAACACGTCCAGCTTCATATCACACAAATGAATAAAATATTTCTCATTGAGATCGCTATGGCGGCCATAAAACTTTCCCCGTAATTTTCATTAGCCTGCATCTTTTGAAACGTAGTGCTATGAGTTGGTCCGTAAGTTGGCGACTTCTTGCACAAGAATCATAATAATGAGAACATACCCTTGCATATCGAATCAACTGTGACATGCAAACACCTTAGGTCGGGGGTGCAGGAATATAGCTATCCAGAAACGGAAAATTAACATTAGAGAAATTGAAATAATCATATTTATCATACAACTTGGTAGAAAGCTGTGCATATTATGTTGTAGAAAAAGATCGAGATTAGTGGTTGATGTACAAAGGGTCTGTCGTATCTTTGATTTCCAATTCTGGTGGGTACAAAGTACGATGGACTTGGACAATAAATTTCTTTGTTATTTGGAAACAAGACATTATCATATATCTGAAAGTGAAATTAAACAACTTTGCAAGGTCGTTATGACATGTTTTGATAAACTCTTCAATAAATCTATTCTCGTATGAAAACAAAAACAAGTCAACCAAATAAGGGGCGAAGTTCGTTCCCATATGCCAATAGTCCGTTGGAAGTTACCACCAAACTCGACGGAGATGACATCAACTCAACCAGAAACTCGATCACTTTTGTGATTTCGTCCTCGGTATATTTCTTCTTCGATTTGGACGTATTTGTTTACGAAAAACGCTTCAGTATAGTTCCCAGTCATATATCTATACAGCCGTTCACATCTTTGGCGAAGAAAGCTCTCATAAGAAGAGAACAAAGGCGTTCCTTTAGGAATCCAATATTTATATTGGGGATGGGGTTGGGGTGGAGGTTGGCGAAGGGGTTGGGGAGGAGGTCCGTATCCATTGTAATACCAAAGCATGATTAGCTAATATTTCATCTTTTGAATAATGTATAAGAGGGGACTCCTTCGTTATCATGCAAGCCCAGTTCTTTTTGTATACAGAAAATATAATAATGTTCGCAGACAAGGATCACGGTATTGGACGTCTGATCTACGGGCACAATAGCAAACCTGTCATGTAAATCAACGAAGTGTGGCTTTAACATTAGGATCGAGGAAAACTCACTTGCGTTTTGTGTTCATTTTATATTTCAAGCTCCAAATTCTTTTACGAATGATGGACCATATGGACTTAACCCACTCAGAAAGTGAATCCGAATCAGCATGCACGATATTTAGGACCCCTCATGAAAAACTTTCATAGCTTAATGTTTTAAATAACGCTTAAATCACCAATTACTATGTGCCAAGTTAGACCATTGTTTAAAGAAGAAGTAGAACAAGAAGAAACTGACGGAGGAGTAGTTCTGAAGTCATCTACATTAAGTTGTCATAGCGTTTGTTTGTAGTTGAAATGTTTGGATGCATTAGGCTATCAGTAACTCTAGGAAAACACATTTTTTCGGCTCTGAAAGTATTTAGCTTTAATAGGCTTCTAGTGTAAAAATATTACTGATGTCTATAGCATCCATTCCCTTATTTTTAAAGTCAGCCTTCATAAATTGGTGAGTTCCGATACCGACAGGTTTAAAAAGCTTAATTTGTGCCATCTCATCAAAACTTTTATGAAGTCTCCAAGCTAGTTTCCATAGGTGACCAGACTTCCGGGAGGTTAAAATGTTTATACAATCATTAATTCTCTCCACGGTTCACTGCTGACCGATGACCATTCATACGCTGTCTTAACCGTCTTTTGTTTCACCAACATATATCAAAACCACACAGAGCACACTCAATACCATAAACACTGTTGGTAGTTTTACAATTTAGAGGCTCAAAGCTTCTGGTAGTATAAACTTTATTAGTAGGAGAACTAACAGATTTCCGCTTGATTTATCACAAAAAAGTATCAAAATTTACAAATACACAAACTAAAATGCAGCTAACAGGAAATAAAAAGTTTTTTTTAATTCTTTATCTTCAATAAACACGGAACGTAAGACATTTAAGCAGAGACGTATATAATATATATACAGCGTTTCAGCTGAATTACAGGAATCAATTGTAGTAACTTTATACTTTGTCCTATTTACATGTATATAGTAGGTGTCACAGTAGTCTAACTTTTCAACATAAGTAATGTGTTTACAGATACACTGTAGGGAGGATATTAAACACGGAACGTAAGACATTTAAGCAGAGACGTATATAATATATATACAGCGTTTCAGCTGAATTACAGGAATCAATTGTAGTAACTTTATACTTTGTCCTATTTACATGTATATAGTAGGTGTCACAGTAGTCTAACTTTTCAACATAAGTAATGTGTTTACAGATACAATGTAGGGAGGATATTATCTACATTATACAGCATGCGATTGAGACGATTATAAACTTCATAATAAACAAGCCTGTTTTAACTTGTTCGATCTTTTTTATCATGATGATCAGTGTTGTTTTACATTACTATTATGTATGAGTAATGAATGAAGTATATATAAAAACATTTTGAAAATATTTTTTGTTATAATTTAATGCAAATGACATCCAGGGATTTCGTGAAATAACTTAAGCATCATTCAAATAATTGCAGGAAATCCCTAAAGATTTTAGTGATTTCTTGAAATTACTAAGTGAATTGGGGATTTCACGAATTCACTGAAAGTTTCAGTGATTTCACGATCTTACTGTAACATATACACACTTGGGCCTACAGGCAGCAAGTGCTTCTTACGTTAAATGTGTTTTTCCCCAAGCAGAAGTACCAACAAGTCCTATGAATACTAAATTTAATATAACAACTTTTTCGTGGACAATTCAGTTTTCATTAACATCTTTGTTCGATAACAACAACGAAACACAAAACTATCACGTTCCTAATAAGGAGTGAGAATATTACAAAATCCCTACACCAAAATCTTAACACAACTCACATCATTTATATTGTTTGTGAAACACAAGTAATATGTAGCTTGCCTTTTGTTACATACACTTTGTTTAAGACTATATAACACGAAACAACTTTTGTTCGAGAAGATCATCTGTCGTTCTAAACACGACCATCGTTCATTCGAAATCAACTTCCTTGTTTCGTAGAAAAAATATATATCATTGTGATGGCCTGAATACAAAACACAAGTGTAACATGTCGATGGTTTTACAAATATAATAATTGCCACTCTTCATATGAAAAGAAAAATCCTTTTTTTTTTCTGTGGTACAGCCATTCACAAATCAGGACAAATAGGAGTTGATGCTGTTCCCCTTTGTTCTAAAAAACAAAAATGTGTACTTCGGTGAAAACGTATGACATGAAATAAAACGTATCAGCCAGGCGAGAAATGAGAGCGAAAGGAGATCGTATCCCAATTCAATTAACGGTTATTAATTAATATATATCAGAATATGTTAAAATGTAATCAACCATAGTTTCAATGAAAATATCATGCGCCGTTCCAATGAATATCTGTTTGAGAGCATGAATACATTTTGTTTACTCATGCTGCTTTATACAAGACGAAATCAGACTAAATTGAATTGTTATTAAGTTCTGAACATTTGCATCTAACCTATAACTTTGTCACATTTCATTATAAAGAGGTTATACAATTCAATATATATGTAAAACAGCAGTAAACATACCACCGTAAGGATCCACATGTAGATACATGGTATTAGAAGGTTTGTACGATCCACACCATCCATCGAAAGCAGCGTGAATAATATAACCGTCGCTGGAACGCTCTATATATTCTAATCGTGGTGCGTAACCTCCTGTCTTCCACGTTAGCTACAAAAAAACACGTGAATTGTTTTTAATTTAAAGGAATTTTCGACTGAAACTTATTTGAGTCTTTAATAGTTTCTCAATAGTATCGAGATTACAATATCTTGGCTGTTATCAATATTATCATTAACTTTATTAATTTTGCAACAATTGTGAATAAAGCTATCAGCTTATATATAGAACCATTGTTGGCCCAGATGGAAGTGCGCGAGGGGGTTTTACTGTGGAAGGAAACTGGAGTACCCAGTGAAAACCCACATGGTTGGACACGCGACCCAATACCATTTCACGTTCGTTCCGGAAATCGAACCTCGGGTGTCAAGGTGAAATTCTAGTGTGTTACCACTGCGCCACCATGTCTACAATTCAAACTATTTTTATAAACCGTGATTGTTTCCCATGAGTAACAGGAAGTCTTTATGATTAAGTGTTTTCCTAACTGAAATACGTCTTTCAAGTTTATTAAGAAATCAAGAAAACCTGAAGGGATACATGACGAACATCATACATAATCATTAAGAATTCCACTCAGTACGACCATACTTCCTTCATACTCAAAGTGTCTCTTGAGACAAATTACAGCTGAAGTGAAAGAGGAGTTACGGAAAACACTTAATACAGTACAGTAGAAATTAGCCAGGAATTGTGGCTTCCTTACATTTGGATCTACTATCAGGCGGGTGCCGTTTGTGTTGATGACGAAAACACCTGGAGCTGGACAGTTGGACATTGATGTCGGATACTTGATGTTATCAAAAGAGCATGAGAGCGCCTCTCCGTAACGTGGGATAGGCCGGGTCGTTTCTCGGCAAGTTGTGGAGAACGTGAAGTCATCAAGAACAACGGACATGTCCTGTATCAACAAATTCATTTTCTATAAGCATATTTTTCACCAGCTATAGACACAAATTATTTCACCACGTATATACCGTACCGAGAGTTCCATTGTTAAATGCTAGGGGGGAAATGACATGATCTTATAAAGGCATATACAGAATGGATAAGAAGAATAATACTAGAGTACTCTTGATGACTGTAAACAAAACATTAGTCACGACATATCACTTTGATATCCTCATTATGATGCGATTTTACTTACAGAGCACCTACACAAGCATACAATGGAGCATTATTATTATCATGCAAATATGACATAAAAAAAACTTCGTCATATGGAAATGAGAAAATTACAGCCGGTATGTCACATTTATACAGACACAGATTGTATTTGTTGCCCTTTTGGCTAAATTGATTTGACGGTATTACAGTATCATAATCATCTATACAGTTAACGAATCAATCACCGAACAAAATAGTCCTTGGTTTTCAAAGCGTATTTATGCCATCCTTTGAAAAATATATACCGGTTACTTTAAAGAGACATTCCTCACAAGTTACGATTTCATGAGATGCTTTTGAAGAAAACTCAACAAATCCATCTTCTAATGATCTTGTGGAAATCGTTCGCATCAAATTAATATTTAAACAAACATATGATATTTAATTTTCGGAAATTCTATATAGATCTAGCTAGATAGATTTACAAACGTTTGCAAAGACTTGATTGCGTCATAACAGGTTGGCAATGTTATTAGCCGAATATTTGTGAAAATTATGAAATCAACAGAAAAATGTCAAATAAAGGCTATAAAACAGAAATTTCAATGTGTGATCCAATAACCATTCAGTTCCGGATTTCCCGATGCGCCATATTAAGACGGTTTGGTTGAGAGTATTCCCACCAATTCCGCTTGTCCAAACTTGCTACATGATAGATATTTTGATGCTAAAAATAGTTTTAAGGTACAGAGAAGCCAGAAATTATGCAACTTGGGCGGAATATTCCTTTAAGAAATGGGACAAAATGGATCATTCCAGGAGACACAAACAATAACATATTCTCCTCCTCCTTCGTTCGATACTTGCATATTGCAAAACTAAGAATGAGGAACTGCTACATCTTATTACCGCAAGGTTGACCAGAATTTTGTCGAAGATCGCAGATGCATCGCCGTTTCTGTCGATGAACTGACAAGGGGCAGAGTTAGTACGTTTAGAATAATCATTCCGGGACATATTCTCCTCAAACAGTGTAACATAGGCCTGAGGAACCGTGGCCATGTTATGACAGTAGATGTTGACCCCATGACCCCCGAGAACTGGTGGGTATAACAGGTAGGTACCATCCAGGTTAGTACTGCTACACATCTGTACGTCCTCACAATTTTCCAGAGTAACATCTGTATCATTAAATCATACCATTACGATAAGCAGAGAATACATGTTCAGTGTCCTAAGATATACGCCGTAGACAAACTGTTTTTGTATAGTAATTGTTCTTACTTCATAAGGAAACTGCTTGAGAAGGCTACCGAAAAATAATGATAATTTCTAATTCAACTTCCATGAAATAAAATCTAAAAGTTAAAAGTATGACCAATAGATATACGACGTAAGATGTCTTCCTGGTGGTTATACCAAAGGATAAAGTTTAGAATGATTTTGATATTCATTCAATGAATGGTTGGTCAATTGAGGTATTGAAATTATGCGGAACTTTTCGATAGATAAAAACATCGGAAAGAAACTTCAATCCTGAAATAAGTCTTCAAAAGCATTTTATATAGATATCAAGACTGCTTGAATACAGATCATTATTCTAACCGTGTATCAAGTCGTTATACAGTAACATGAAACATGTTCTTCATGTAGTAATTGATTTTGAAAGATTATTTTTTCATGTTTTAACTGGGTTATTTTACTTTCTACACTATAAATCTGACGTGATTATTTTACTGTCTACATTGTAAATCTGACGGGATTATTTTACTCACTACACTGTAAACCTGACTGGAATATTTTTCTGTCTACACTGTAAATCTGACGGGATTATTTTACTGTCTACACTGTAAATCTGACGTGATTATTTTACTGTCTACACTGTAAATCTGACGGGATTATTTTACTGTCTACACTGTAAATCTGACGGGATTATTTTACTGTCTACACTGTAAATCTGACTGGATTATTTTACTGTCTACACTGTAAATCTGACGGGATTATTTTACTGTCTACACTGTAAATCTGACTGGAATATTTTACTGTCTACAATATAAATCTGACGAGATTATTTTACTGTCTACATTGTAAATATGACGGGATTAATTTACTGTCTACACTGTAAATCTGACTGGAATATTTTACTGTCTACACTGTAAATCTGACTGGATTATTTTACTGTCTACACTGTAAATCTGACAGGATTATTTTACTGTCTACACTGTAAATCTGACTGGATTATTTTACTGTCTACACTGTAAATCTGACAGGATTATTTTACTGTCTACACTGTAAATCTGACGGGATTATTTTACTGAATACAGTGTAAATCTGACGTGATTATTTTACTGAATACAGTGTAAATCTGACGTGATTATTTTACCGTCTACACTGTAAATCTGACGTGATTATTTTACCGTCTACACTGTAAATATGACGGGATTAATTTACTGTCTACACTGTAAATCTGACGTGATTATTTTACTGTCTACACTGTAAATATGACGGGATTATTTTACTGTCTACATTGTAAATCTGACGGGATTATTTTACTGTCTACACTGTAAATCTGACGTGATTATTTTACTGTCTACACTATAAATCTGACGAGATTGTTTTACTCACTACACTGTAAACCTGACTGGAATATTTTACTGTCTACACTGTAAATCTGACGGGATTATTTTACTGTCTATACTGTAAATCTGACGATTATTTTACTGTCTACACTGATTAGGATTATTTTTTTACTGTAAATCTACGGGATTATTTTACTGTCTACACTATAAATCTGACAGGATTATTTTACTGTCTACACTGTAAATCTGACAGGATTATTTTACTGAATACATTGTAAATCTGACAGGATTATTTTACTGTCTACACTGTAAATCTGACGGGATTATTTTACTGTCTACACTATAAATCTGACGTGAATATTTTACTGTCTACACTGTAAATATGACGTGATTATTTTACTGTCTACACTGTAAATCTGACGTGATTATTTTACTGAATACAGTGTAAATCTGACGGGATTATTTTACTGTCTACACTATAAATCTGACGAGATTGTTTTACTCACTACACTGTAAACCTGACTGGAATATTTTACTGTCTACACTGTAAATCTGACGGGATTATTTTACTGAATACAGTGTAAATCTGACGTGATTATTTTACCGTCTACACTGTAAATATGACGGGATTAATTTACTGTCTACACTGTAAATCTGACGGGATTATTTTACTGTCTACACTGTAAATCTGACGGGATTATTTTACTGTCTACACTATAAATCTGACGTGAATATTTTACTGTCTACACTGTAAATCTGTGAATATTTTACTGTCTATGACTGACGTGATTATTTTACTGTCTACACTGTAAATCTGACGGGATTATTTTACTGTCTACACTGTAAATCTGACTGGAATATTTTACTGACTATACTGTAAATCTGACTTTATTGATTTAATGCGGTAAATTATCAACTGATGATTTGAAATGTTTATTACTGCCTTAACCGACCTCTGCAGTATCCTGATGTTTGGGTCCAGATTCCCGAAGCCATACATTCTATGAAGTACGCTGTTGGTAAAAGTGTTCCTGTGCACGTGAACTGTCGTGTGCTTCCGAAGGCGTTCGTACCAGTTACCCAGGTAACATTAGGTTCTGCTGGGGGCTCACCACAGGCTGTGTAAAACCAATGCTCTACAGTTATACAAATCTAATTTAATGGAAAATAAAGATTACACAACATTATAAGCTTCGAAAAGTGATAAGACTGTGTATCGAAACGTTAATCTAAAATAGAAAATAAAAAAGGACAATAACAGCAGAGACTCAAACGAAACAAAAAGTCCCAACAATGACTGTGTGGACGGAAACTGGAAATGGTACATAGAGATTACACGACACGTGGTTGCTGTTTCATTAAGTTATTTAACATAATTCGTAATTGAAAAAAAGAGAGAGAGAACGACACGTGCTTAACGACAGTTATTTGAAATATTCTTACAATATGACAATTAAACATCACAGATAGAAATATTTACTGTAAAAACATATATAACTTATATTAGTTTATAGCTTAGTTCATGGTTTAGTTCACTTTATAGCATCTTCGCTATAAACTACTGTACTATAGTACTAAATTGCCATTGGCAAAAACCTGTTCATTAAACGTCAAATTCAAAAGTTTAGCACCATGGATTTAAATATTTATGTACAATTAAACTTGACAATGTTTTAATGAGCATCTGGTTATATTGGATTGCTTGCTAACTGAAGTTTGTATATACATATAACGCTCCGTGATTGTGCTCTAAGTATACACAGAACAAAATGCGTTTGAATATTATAGGACAGTAAGCACGGTGTCTCAAAGCACCCTTATATATGGTCATAATTCGACCAAACTGAGGCAGGTTTTGTTTCTGAACGACGACATCGTGTAAATGACAACGTATTACGTTCAAACAAAAGATTTATCTACAATATTTTTATTTACACATAAACAGAAACGAAACAATTTCTTCCGTTGTTTGAATTCACAGTTCGAACAATAGCTATCATTGACGTGTCTACTAGTATGTTTGTTATGGGCGATACATTAAGTTTTAAATACAAATCAAGAATTTAAAAAAAGATTTAAATAATTCTATTCTATCATTTTTTTTTTTTTTTTTTTGAACAATTGATTTAACTTAACATTTCTATTAGTGAGATGATGATCAAATATGCCATTGTGAAACAAGTATTAATTACCCCAATAATGTTAGCGTATTTTTGTCCTTTAGACTCTAAGATGTGTATTTAGAAAATATAGGATTTTCATACAATTGTATCACGCTGTCTAACTTAAACAAAAATAAAACACCTAAAAAATTGGTGATTTTACAGCTGACTTTTCTAACATCACATCCGACGTTGACTCGGAGAACGACTCTCAAAAACCTCACGTACGCAATACGCCACGGAAATCATGACATGAAACGTCCGGTAAATCTTGTTGAGTACTAGATACAATGTATTGTCTTTGTGTGAAACCTGTTCCATAGTTATTTAAACTAATACTTAGCGGATAATATCCATAGACACGATTAAAGTTATGATAAGTGGTATACATTTCCTTGGCACTCCCCTATCAATGTTTGCGCATTGTGAGGCTTGACGATTGACACAAACATTCTGTCTGAATCACTGGGCTGTTACATCGTTCTATGCACAACAAATGCATATTATTTTTAATAGTTGTAACGAGAAACCGGGATTTTCTGACCTACCAGGAAAACATATGTGTGTGAAAGTTTATCACAAGTGTTACGGGTGTTCATGTTGTATTTAATTTGGTCAACTCGATAAGCCATATCGATATGACAAGCCTTTGGCTGAGTGTCTTAAAGTATTATACAAGTTTACAAATTTTACAAATATCGGAACCATAATTCAAACACATTCAATGAAATTGAAAAAAAGAAGGTTTTAAAAAAATGTACTAGGATGATAAGACAAGCTATCTGTTCCATGGACAGTCCAAGCAAGTACTGTCATGTTGCCATATGAGAATAATAAGCAACAATGGAACCACCAGTCATACTAACGAACATCAAACACGTTCAGCTTCATATCGTACAACGGAACCACCAGTCATACTAACGAACATCAAACACGTTCAGCTTCATATCGTACAACGGAACCACCAGTCATACTGACGAACATCAAACACGTTCAGCTTCATATCGTACAACGGAACCACCAGTCATACTAACGAACATCAAACACGTTCAGCTTCATATCGTACAACGGAACCACCAGTCATACAAACGAACATCAAACACGTTCAGCTTCATATCGTACAACGGAACCACCAGTCATGCTAACGAACATCAAACACGTTCAGCTACATATCGTACAACGGAACCACCAGTCATGCTAACGAACATCAAACACGTTCAGCTTCATATCGTACAACGGAACACCCAGTCATGCTAACGAACATCAAACACGTTCAGCTTCATATCGTACAACGGAACCACCAGTCATGCTAACGAGCATCAAACACGTTCAGCTTCATATCGTACAACGGAACCACCAGTCATACTAACGAGCATCAAACACGTTCAGCTTCATATCGTACAACGGAACCACCAGTCATACTAACGAACATCAAACACGTTCAGCTTCATATCGTACAACGGAACCACCAGTCATACTAACGAACATCAAACACGTTCAGCTTCATATCGTACAACGGAACCACCAGTCATACTAACGAACATCAAACACGTTCAGCTTCATATCGTACAACGGAACCACCAGTCATACTAACGAACATCAAACACGTTCAGCTTCATATCACATTAAGAAATAGAATATTTATAACCTCTCTAAACCTTGTGTTGTAAGCTTTTTCAGTCAATTGTTTTCATCTTGCACGAAAATTGTGACGTCAGGAAAAAGCCATAAAATATCGTATTAACTGCGATATTTAAACACCTTAGTTTGAGGAGGCAAAGATACTGTTATCCAGAAATAGAAAGTTCACAATAGGGAAAATGAGATCACGCTTATCATGCATCTTGATGAAAAGGTGTCCATGAGGGTTTCATTATAGGAAAGGATCGACGTGAGAGGCTGATGCAGAAGAGTCATGTTCTTGATTTGCGGGTTTGTACGATGTACTTTGTTATTTAAAAGTGCCATCCATACATCTGAAAATAAATTAAAGGACTTCACAAGGTCTTTGTGAAATGTTCTCAGAACTCTCTAAAGATAATAAACGTAAAAATCCTCCGATTAACTTCCGTACCAAGGGGACCAATAAGACTTAGACGTTTTGTTTTTTACCATCTAGAAAATGGTATGACATTATCTATTCTTGACAAGATATTGTTATTACTTGTGGTATATATATTTCCAACAGGAAAATATTATATAATAAAACGAAATTGCGCTGATTAAACAGCACTATAAAGAGTTATAAAGATGCATTTCATTCCAGAAACAAGTATCTATTACATGACAAAATTGTTTAGGCTGAGACCTATATATTACACATCTGAAACCGATTGCTATACAGAACGATGGTGATATCACACTGTGTACACCTAACTCGCCTCTCGTCTACAAAGACGGCGACAGAGATTTGGTTTCCCAACCGGATATAGAAGGGTATGGGATCACACAACCAACCCTGTTTGTTGTCTATGCGTTCTCAAGTTGTTGTTTTTTTTTTAAATATTATATCACCATTGTGCCTTTTATATAAACTTTGCTTTATTTAAAGTCTATCAAATACCAATGTCTTTGTTATATGTTTGTGAACGTTTTACACGAAACCTCAGTTCATCGATGTAGGTCTCCGAGTCTGCAATGAAGGTAGGGCGTGAAAATGTACCTCAAGATGAGTAAGAGGCGACTTCATTTGGGATCTGATATTTTCCGACCTTTTTTAACGTTTCCTTTGACACAGCTTGACTTCTGACCTTTAACTTACTGTTCTGTGAGGAATGATTTGGAATCTGTCCCCTGTTGAGGACATACCATAGAGTCCATTAAAACGGAATTCACTGCTGCCTGTAATGTTCAGCATTATAACAGTGTAACGAACGCTTCGATCGTCATCAGTTTAATGTAAGCAAACTGGGTGTCCTACTGGGGTCTTTTAGCAATGTAGCACAATAAAGTCAATATCATTTCAGCACAATAACAAAGACGTTTACAGGAACATATTGCAGCCTTCCGAAGACAAAAACACCAGCTCTCAACACATGCACTTAAATATATATTGAGGCCGTCCTTAAATGGTCATGGCTGTTAATAGGAAAATAAAGAATAAAACAAGCCAAATTAACGAACGCCTTACGTCTCTCATCGCCTAGTGTAACACATGTAAATAATGCTGAAGTTTCTTATTCATTTTTTATTGTTTTATTGTCGTTATAAATTAGATGGTAATAAGTATTTATATACAACTTTATATTATTGGGGTCCTGAGACAGTGGTCAGGGTGAAACATTTGATGAAATTAAACACATATAAGACAGGAAACAGTTTCTGGTAATTTAAGTTTTCATTTGTTTCATACCATAAAATACATATATAAGAGAGAGAGAGCAAAAAGGAAATATAATGTATATAGAAATGTCAGCTGAGTTTTGTAAACTCTATGTATTCTATTTTGAAGTTCACCACTTCTATCTGCATTATGCCCTCCTTTTGAGATTACCTAACCTTGTCATGATGCATTGTACACGTCACATGGAAATAATTCGTATGGGTTAAGTTCTATGAACTGAAAATACCTATGATCATCAAACATTTGTTGTCGATTCACTAGTTTACATCAGTACCATCAACGCCGCCATCTTTTTATCGCGAGCCAGCAAGCAGACGACGTTTTAACATGATTTCGGACCTTAAAACTTTATTTTCCCCAAAAATTTTCTTTTGTATTAAATAAAAATTATTGAAGGTAAAAAAAATCAATACGTTTTTCATGAATGAAATAAAGTCTGAGAGGCAGTAAAAAACGGGGTTTTGTCTTTTGAGAATGATCGTTTAGAAGCTTTGCAATACTGACCCTTTCAAACATTTACATGCCATAGACAATCAATATGGTGATGGGAGATGTACATTTCAGTAATTAAATGTTGCACAATGTCCTCGTGTGGTCAGACCATCTATGTGATGTTTAATGAGTTTATTACACAAACTCCCCAGAGGAATGTCAAAGCCTCATTAAGCATCACATTAAAAGACCTGTAGGGGATCTATATTTCCTTTGAAAATTGAATGGTACTCCATTGCATAAGTCTTATAAATTTCCTGACAAACTAACAGGCGAAAACAGGTAAAACTAAAGACCGGACCACAATATCCGGTATCAATTATATCGCCAAACTAAACACGTAACATTGTAACGTGACAATATCATTTAGTCAAGATGTACTCAGACCAGTTGTAAAGTCGCTAACATGAAAACAGGCATTATTTTCTAAAATTATTATTTTGAAATACTTTTCTCCTCTCCTAATGTTAACGAATCTGTGAGATTTGATATTTGAATTCATTGTATCTACTTTCGAGTGATGCAGGACAACAGAGGTTATGGGGGAAATTTATGGTCGTAATATTTCCTTCTGCGATAGAAAGCTGGACATGTTTAATACTCGTTAATTTGCCTGATGGTTCGGTTGTCGATTACCTTATTTTCATTTGAGAACATGACATTTTCATGGATTGACCTATATTTACATGATTAGTGTCCATTAAGTAGAAGACGCTTTCTCTTCCGAAACACCTGGTCTTATTCTCCTTGTACTCCTTGTGTTTAGTTTGTGATTCCATTAACATGTCGGTATTATCTTTATTGTTTTTCTCAGTATTGATAATTTGCTCCACTAGTGAAAAGTTCTTTCAATTATTCACAATATTATTTGTACTCAAAACGCATGCGGATCAAATCAATGGTGATACAGTTATGTGATATATTTTCGGAATTTCACCACACGAAAAAAAAATTAAAAATGAATACAACTTTGATAACTATCAGAGCAACATGAAAATAAATATTGACTAGGCATACAGTACAACAAACTCATTGTGAAAAAATAAGACAAAAACACACAGAAATGAATACACTTTTGATGCAAATTTAGAACAAGATACAATAGCGCCATATAATTAATTAAACTGCGTATATTTATTTGTTCCGGCTTTCTAGGACTCGTCAGGGGGCCTAAATTTAGAAAATCATTAATCGACTGAGGTGAATAAAAATTAGTTTTAAAAAATCAAAATATTTACGTGGAGGTGCAATAGTCCAAAAATTCAATACATTTTATAATTGTCATGTATCTGATACTTTACAAAGAAAATTAATTATATTTGTTTATTCTGAACAACGCCACTATTCGAATGAAACGTGACATGAAGGTTGCAGTAAACAGCAATCCACACACATAAGGTATAAGAGAATATGAAGATAAATGCATGCGTAAAAAAATGAAAACACATTTTTTCGAAATATTCCATTGTTTCATCAACGAGATATGAAAATAAAAAACATTTACAAAAAATCATTGAGATTTATTCCATTATTTGGCAATTGAAACTTATTTTGATAATTCTTTCGGTCAATTTTGGTGTTTGACGATCACCACATACATCATTTTATGATGTAAACATCACATCCAAGAAGATACAGCTGTATCATACATTCATTTGGCTCTAGTCTAAACAATTTAAGTTAAGTTCTTAAATTTAGGTATTATTTGAGTTTGGATTATGATTGTTTTGACATGTTGGTATGGGTATTTTAATGTTGCTTTTCCGACAAAAATGATATGTACATTTCTTTCTACTTATAATTGAACTTGCCTTCAGGTCTAACATCTCCCAAAGGGCAATGTTCTACTTTAAAGACAATTAATAAATGTCTTTATCCATTTAGAAAAATTAAATAAGGATTTAAAGAATTAAAGAATATACATTTATGCAATATATAATAAGAATATACACACATGTAATAAACAATCAGAATATATACACACGTGTAATATACAATCAGAATATATACACACATGTAATATACAATCAGAATATATACACACATGTAATATACATTCAGAATATATACACACGTGTAATATACAATCAGAATATATACACACCTGTAATATACAATCAGAATATATACACACCTGTAATATACAATCAGAATATATACACACGTGTAATATACAATCAGAATATATACACACATGTAATATACAATAAGAATATATACACACATGTAATATACAATCAGAATATATACACACATGTAATATACAATCAGAATATATACACACATGTAATATACAATCAGAATATATACACACATGTAATATACAATCAGAATATATACACACGTGTAATATATAGAATATATACACATGTAATATACAATCAGAATATATACACACGTGTAATATACAATCAGAATATATACACATGTAATATACAATCAGAATATATACACACGTGTAATATACAATCAGAATATATACACACATGTAATATACAATCAGAATATATACACACATGTAATATACAATCAGAATATATACACATGTAATATACAATCAGAATATATACACACGTGTAATATACAATCAGAATATATACACACGTGTAATATACAATCAGAATATATACACATGTAATATACAATCAGAATATATACACACGTGTAATATACAATCAGAATATATACACACGTGTAATATACAATCAGAATATATACACACACACGAATATATACACATGTAATATACAATCAGAATATATACACACGTGTAATATACAATCAGAATATATACACACGTGTAATATACAATCAGAATATATACACACGTGTAATATACAATCAGAACATATACACACATGTAATATACAATCAGAATATATACACACATGTAATATACAATAATTTAGTTAAGATTAACAAATGATTCTTTTTTTTCATTTTCGGATTTGCAATTCAAATTGTGAGATCTTAAACATCTTATCCATGCCTATAGTCCATCTGAAATCAACATACTTACATTTGATTGGCTGGAGGACGCTGTTGCCATGGGTGATATAGAAATAGGAAGTATTGACACTGACCAATGAGGAAGATGGATCTGTGAAGACGAGGTCGTGTAACTGACACAGTTGGCTGTTTCTTTTGTAGAAGAAAGATAGGCAAAGAGACAGCGACACACAGGTTAATGCACACTCATTTTGTGTTAAAGTAGTCAAAGAGCTTGAAATATCCAACATCATAATTTTGTCTTCAAATGCTGTACTTTTTTCAAGTCCCATGAACACTGAAAATAATGAAATGATAAAATCTGGGCAATTCGTGTTATCGTTTTCAGTGGGTTTTTTTTAACCAAAAGATTCAGTACGTAAAGCAACATATATATTAAAATAAATTATTATAATTCCTAAGTAAAATGTAGATAAGCGTTAGTCGCATTAATCAGTTTTTGCTGAAATGACCATCAAAAACGCATTGAAAAGTGAACAACTAAATATAGTTAATTATTTATCTAAATTCACTAGATGTTTATAGAAAGATAACTGTAAAATGAAAGTAACACTTGTAGAAAGAGATCGTTAGGTTTTAAATGAAAAACTAGCAACAATGGAAGGTCAAAAGGATTGCCATGACTGAAAAACTCCGTTCATATTGTCAGTATATAACATAAAATCGAAATGAAACATACCTATTATTTTGACATTATATACCTTTACATATCTATGTTCAAATATGTATCTATTACGTACACCAACACAAGAAATAGCAAGATTATACCTGTCGTTTCTCCGGCAACTTCCATAAACAGGAGTCCACGTAGGAAAAACATGTAAATCATTCCTGGTAATAAATGATGAAGAACCATTTTCAGTGTGTATATACACTATCATCTATATTTCCTATATACTTCCCAGGGTTGAACTTGGAATAATTATAGATTTTTCGTTGTCGAATGGTGCGGAGTACGGTAGATTATTAAACATCGAAATGGTACACAGCCGTGAGATATCGGCATATCAATACTTCTACTGTCCGACTATTGGACGAACACTTTCAAGAAAAATGAAAGTTACCTCAGTTGGTTCTAGTGACTGAGGACATCAACTTGTTCTAGTAACTAAGGACCTCAACTGGTTCTAGTGACTTAGGACCTCAACTGGTTCTAGTGACTTAGGACCTCAACTGGTTCTAGTGACTTAGGACATCAACTAGTTCTAGTGACTTAGGACCTCAACTGGTTCTAGTGACTAAGGACCTAATCTGGTTCTAGCGACTGAGGACATCAACTTGTTCTAGTGACTAAGGACCTCAACTGGTTCTAGTGACTTAGGACCTCAACTGGTTCTAGTGACTTAGGACATCAACTAGTTCTAGTGACTTAGGACCTCAACTGGTTCTAGTGACTAAGGACCTAATCTGGTTCTAGCGACTGAGGACATCAACTTGTTCTAGTGACTAAGGACCTCAACTGGTTCTAGTGACTTAGGACATCAATTGTTTCTAGTGACTTAGGACCTCAACTAGTTCTAGTCACTTAGGACCTCATCTGGTTCTAGTGACTGAGGACATCGACATGTACACAGCACGTTTTATGATTTTTTTTTAAGCAGACATGATCTTATTGTCTCTTCACAATCCGGCTTCAGAAAGAAACATTCTTGTAAAAACAGCACTTTTAAACATTGTAAATACATGGGCTAAAAACATTGATGAAGGTCTTTTAACTGGTGTAATATTTTTAGATTTTAAAAAAGCTTTTGACCTTGTAAATCACAATGTTCTTATTGATAAGTTAAGGTTATATAAATGTGATCCCAATACAGTGTCTTGGTTTACCTCTTACCTCACAGATCGATCACAGAAAGTATGTATTGCAGGAAGTTTATCAGAGGCAATGAACATAACACATGGTGTACCTCAGGGATCAATACTAGGTCCTCTGATGTTTTTAATTTTTATTAATGACTTACCCTTGTGTATGAAATCCCAAACTGATATGTATGCAGATGACTCTAGTTTAACTACATCTGGTGTCTCTATATAAAGTGTTCAATTACAACTTCAACATGATTTATGTCACGTTGAGACTTGGTGCAACGAAAATAAAATGATTGTGAATGCAAGTAAGACCAAATGCATGTTAATTACTTCAAAACAAAAAATATCACGAAATGATTATTCTTTAAACTTATATATGGAGGATGTTCTTTTAGAGCAGGTTTGCCAAGAAAAACTTTTGGTTGTAAATATAGACGAGTGTTTGTCCTTCCATGGACATATTTCATCCATTGTTACCAAAATTAGACAGCGCTTAGGATTGCTGCGTAGAATTCGTAAATATCTCCCAATTAGTGGGAGACTAAAGTTTTATAACTCATGCGTATTTCCAAATTTAATTTATTGTAGCACAGTTTGGTCAGGGTGCACAGCTAAGTTGATCAATCAGTTATCAAATGGCTCAAAAGCAAGCGGCCAGCACTATTCTTGAGGCTCCATAAAACACCCCTTCTAAGGATATGTTTTTAACTTTAAATTGGATGCCTATTGAGACATATCTAAAATTCAGAACGTTATGTATGATTTTTAAATGTCTACATGGAGCTATACCAAATCACCTATCAGAGAATTTTTGTTTAGTAAGAAATGTCCATTCCAGAAATACTAGGTTCCCAGGTGCAAATAACATTAATATTCCGAAACACAGAACAACATTATATTCCAAACAGTTTTTTTATCGCCGGCATCCAACTTTGGAATGGTCTTTCAGATGAGTTGAAGACCGTAAATACATTTCCCAGTTTTAAGCAAAAGCTTGTCAAATATCTTCATAGCTTTTAAACAACTCAGTCTCTTAATTAAGTTACATTTTTTAGTTTATGCTATATTAGCATATATTAGGTCAATTTTTATTGTTTTGCTATGTTAGCATGTATGTATATTAGGCAATAGCCATTTAACTTGACAAAATAATTTTACATGAAATTTATGCATTTTGTGATAATTTTTAACTAACAAATGCTGTGATATTAATTTGTAATCTTATAATTATCTTATAGTGCTGTATTACTATTTTTATCTTATTATCTGTGCTGTCTTAAGCTAATTTTTGTAACTAATTTTTGTATTTTACTAACAAGAGGACCATGTGGTAGATTAGTCTTTGGCTAAACATGTTTTATCCTCAATAAATAATGTTTATTATTATTATTATTATAACTGGTTCTAGTGACTTAAGACCTCTACTGGTTCTTGTGACTAAGGACATCAACTAGTTCTAGTGACTTAGGACCTCAACTGGCTCTAGTGGCTAAGGACATCAACTAGTTCTAGTGCCTTAGGACCTCAACTAGTTCTAGTCACTTAGGACCTCATCTGGGTCTAGTCACTTAGGACCTCAGTAAAACTCTGCTCATTGTTTATAATGTGTATGTGCATAATGCTTGAGAAGTATTCGTAACTGGTGGCGGTAGTAAATACATAAAAACGATTACAGGGGCTTTTAACATTTAATTAGAATAATATAAACATTCTCTTTTATATATAATTAATGCTTTACTTTCATCTTAAAGGATTATATGTGTTCGATTGATTTTTTATGACGACATTTTTACATAATTATTTCACTTCATCGAAATTCCTGGAATAATACATATTGATGTTTCTACCTTAACCATGAAACTTCAGTAACTTGATTCCATCTGTATATTTTAAGGGTCCTGCGTCGATTGTTTACTTGCAGTGTTCACATACCTTACAGGTGATATTGACAGGCATATATGCAAATCATCGATCTCATTTACATGCACAATAGTCATGGAAAGTCTGCTCATATTTATGAACAATAAACGATAAGAACTCTTTTATAATTTGACAGCTAATTAAGCTAAAATTTATGACATATCATGAGTGCGAAATATATTAAATCTACAGACATGAAACGATAGAGTTGAAACTAACTAATATTTTTATTATAATTTATGATTCAAAAAGAAATTCAACGTAAAAACCAAAAACTGGGGACATGACAGATTTACAAAAGACACACAAAATTAGCAATGCTTTTATGGAAAAATTTCTCTCAGAATCTATATTAACCGGGCTGCTAACTCTACATAATCCTTTATGTCACTGTAAAAGTAAGAAATGAACATGGATTTTAACAGTTTTATTAAATGGAGTGTCCGTTGATATGTTTAGTGATCAAAATCATTTAACAGGAAATCAAAGGTTGGATAGGTGAAGAGAGGACAATTCTCTTTTATATGAATTTCCGTGATTTTGAAATTGTTAGATATATTCATCTCTGTAGTCTCCTTCTAAATGTTTCATTAATTTAGGCCCTTAGCATCACTGTCAAGTCCTAGAAGGAGCTGTAGCAGTTTAAGACAGTTCTATTGATCTGATTTTACTGAAGGATGTCAAGTCCTAGAAGGAGCTGTAGCAGTTTAAGACAGTTCTACTGATCTGATTTTACTGAAGGATGTCAAGTCCTAGAAGGAGCTGTAGCAGTTTAAGACAGTTCTACTGATCTGATTTTACTGAAGGATGTCAAGTCCTAGAAGGAGCTGTAGCAGTTTAAGACAGTTCTACCGATCTGATTTTACTGAAGGATGTCAAGTCCTAGAAGGAGCTGTAGCAGTTTAAGACAGTTCTACTGATCTGATTTTACTGAAGGATGTCAAGTCCTAGAAGAAGCTGTAGCAGTTTAAGACAGTTCTACCGATCTGATTTTACTGAAGGATGTCAAGTCCTAGAAGGAGCTGTAGCAGTTTAAGACAGTTCTATTGATCTGATTTTACTGAAGGATGTATTCATTTGAACAATGTCCTTAGACATAAACGGTATACCTGGATAGGCATTGTAGATAGATTTCTTATTATATGGTAACAAATAGGGAAAAGGATATAACGATATAACGACATCGATCCACACATATCATTGTTAAAACTGAGGAATGTTTTATATCGGAACTTGAATCTAATGGCAAAACGTTATTTACATTTATTTTCCAAGCAACAAAATATTTTCTGTGGCTTATTTGAACTGATTGTCAAAATGAACCTACTTTTGTGAACTCGTCTCTTTATTCCCTATTCGTGATGTATGTATAATTAGGCTAGTCCAGAACAAATAATCCACGCTATTTTTATTTGTAAAACGATACAATACAGAAGTTTGTTTAACTATCTACCAATATCAAAATCAAATAAAGGTGTTACTAGAGTACAATAGTCCGATTGCTTCCAGTCAACCGTTCATGACAAAGTGATCTCTTCAGCTAGTCAGCATCTCTTTGTTCTCATTGTCCATTCTTTACCGTTGATATCTCCTTGACCGCGTTGTTCTGTACACATTACTATACAAAAATCGATGACGTCACTGGAAATATCGTTATCGTGAATACCATAAACAGGTTTAGTACAGAAAATGCTCATTTAAATGATAACTTAATTTCATTGGGGTTTTGTTGAAAGCAAATATTAGAGGAAGAGATACAGAAATTGGACATCTTAAAGAAAGATAAAATTTATTATCGAGTTTTGAAATATTTTCTTGCAGAAATCATATCAAAAAAATAGGCGGCGGGCTTATTGCGTAAATTGATAAAATCGGAAACATCAGATCAAAACAACAAGAAAGTCCAAATATTTTGATAAATTTAAAATACATAAAGCGAGGTTAATGTATGAAAATTACAAATGTACAAAAAGGAGACCGCACGTTCTGGAAAGCAACAACACATACCATGTCAATTTTGGTCGATCGAAGAAAGTTTTATCACGTTCTCAAATAACAATCTGGTGTATAACAAGGAGCCTGTCGGATATGCTAAAGGACATCAAACACATCTAGCATATAACACTT